CTAAAAAAAAAAGGGGGAAAAAAAACGTTATTGAAAACAGAAGCTGTTCCCAATTGAAATTGGCCCAATTGAAATTGGGAACAGCTAAAAAAAACTTTAACGAAAACAAGAGCTGTTCCCAGCTAAACAAATAATAACAAAAACAAGAGCTGTTTCGGTGTGTACACCGAAACAGCTAAAAAAAAAGGGGGGAAAAAAAACTTTAACGAAAACAATAGCTGTTCCCAATTGAAATTGGGAACAATGTGGAAACAATGTTTTTGTATAATATTAATGTCAGGGAAGGCTGTTGACGTGGCTGTACTCGACTTCATCCTGACCAGGAGGAAATGGTGTAACAGTACTCAACTCTTGCGCCCAACAACCTCTACAACCTCTATTAATTTTTTCTCAGTTTTGGTCAATTTAATGTTTTTTGTGGTCTTTTCCCCATTATATTCGTTGCATGGATATAGGTAGCTCAGTTGCTTGCGATACCGTCAATAGCAATAGCTGTAATAGTGCATGGAGTGTAGGGGGTACGTAGTGGTAGAGGAAGTATCTTTGTTTTAGCAGTCAGCCACATCCCCTGGATGAACTCTGGCCCCTTCACCTATTGCGGCAGGCTGTCAGGAACTGACCTGTTCATGTAAGAAAGGCTGCACCAAAAGTGCAGATGTTTTCGAGCCACACTCCCCTGCACTGCACTATAGCTGCTTGTTATTCTTAACGGGAATTAACGCGCAGCTAAGCGTATACACTAAAAGCTCCACACATTGTAAAGAAATTTGCAAAACATTTGAATGACAAGTTTCTTTACCAATCAGAATAATTGCATACGTCCAGATTTACTGATTGAAACTTACTATTACAGTTCTTCGATCATATCATGTGTAAAGAATTGGATGGAGTAGAATTTAATCAGAACTCTTCTGCATACCAAAATAATTTTGCTCTGCCAGAGAAAGCTGTCATGAATCAATCAAGTCGAGGCCATATGTCAGCTCCATGCCCGCCCAATGATCTTGGTCCAGTCCGGCATGTAGGAGCACACATCCTCAGCAGTGGCAAAGCGGGTGTCCCATTGCATTCCAGCATGTCCACAAAGGATAGACTTCTTTTCCCAGGTGAGGCAGTGCCCCTTGTGGGCTCCGAGAGAATGATGCACGCAATGTCCTGCAAGCTCGAGACGGTGTTCCCGGATCCCTGCAGTGGCGCACCCAGGATTTGCTTTTTGGGGGGCACAATTTTTTTTTTTTTGGAAGAACATTTTGGCCGCGGAAGAAATTGTTGTTTGTTTGTTTGTTTGTTTGTTTGGGGGTTTTTTTTGGGGGGGGGGGGGTTGGGGGTTGGGACAGACTATTTTCACGTTGGTGGCACCACTAACACCCCTATTATACTACTCGAAAATATGCTACATACATAAATCATCACGCTCAAATCGTGGGACTAAAAGAAAAAAAAAAATTAAAACTTGACAACTTCTGGGGGCTCAAGCCCCCCCCCCCCCCCCCCCCCCCCCCACGGTGCGTCACTGCCGGATCTTTTCCGTCACCTCTGGCAAGCCAGCGTAGAGGTCCACATTCCTCATGTAATCCTTTCAGGGGATGTCAGGGTCTTACGCAGCATCCTGGTGTAACACACAACCAGACATATTTCTTCATCTTAGAAGTGAGGGTCCAGGTCTCAGCTCCGTACAGAAGTACTGCCTCTGCCATTGACACAAACCGTGATCTTTTCATTTGATCACTGAGTGCCGATGACCACACCTTTTCCATTCTGTGGAACACGGTGCTGACCACACCTGTCCTCTTCGAGTCTTAAGGTCTTTCTCACTGAAGCTGGGGGGGACCGCCCCCCCCCCCCCATGTTACCTTGTTGCCCCCCCCCAGTCGCCCCCCCCCCCTCCCCCCAACTGAGATTTTGAGTTTCTAAAAAAATTATCATTGATCTACATGACGCCATGGGCGTCAATCCTGGGGGGACAGGGGACATGTCCCCCCCCCCCACTTTTTGAAGGGTGGGGGACACAATATCAAATGCCCCCCCCCCCCCCCACCACCAGATTTTTGAACTCATGTCTCATTTACAGGGCCCTATTATGTACTACAATGTATCTTTTGCTTAGAAAATATTGGTTAAAGTGGTCAGAAATTGCCTCAGATAGCACCACAGAGCATTTAGAATCCACAATTTTTCGGGGCCCTTAAGCGGGCCCCGAACCCCACGCCTAAAGCTCAGAATTCTGGTAGCTGATTCAATGACTCCAACCTCGAAAACAATGTTCAAATAATTATCTTTTGCTAAGAAAATATTAGTTAAAGCATGGAGGAAAGTGGTAAGAAATTGCTTCAGATCACACCACTGAGCATCTAGAATCAATTTTTTGTCGGGGCCCTTAAGCGGGCCCCGAACCCTACGCCGTAAGGGCTTCGCGCTTGATCGTGCTCGCATCAGTTCTGATCAAGGTATGTCCGCCCCCCCCCCCCTTTTGAGAAGCGATTGACGCCCCTGCATGATGCCCCCCACTGAAAAATTCCTGGCTATGCCACTGCATGGAACGCAACTAAACAATTTGAATTAGTACTAAATGTATTTGGGATCGTGTCAAATGGTCAGTTTGTCCAGATACTTAATACGGCGGCCATATGGTTTGCCGTAAGAGGACCAACACTGGCCCGATTCAGGCTATGTACCCTTTTGCCTTTATGGTTTGACTTGAAAGGGCCGGCACCGGTCCCATTCAGGTTGTGTACCGTCTTGCCATTATGGTTTCCCAAAAAGGGACCGACACTGGCCCGATTCAGGCCTTCTACCGTCTTTTTATCATGGTTTATCGTAAGAGGACTTGCAATGGCACGGTTCAGGCTGTGCGCCGTCTTGCCATTAGAGACACACTCTTGGGAAAAAATGGTCCGGTTAACTTATTCCTTATGATGGGACTTGCGGTTTGGCCGAAGTCAATTTAGCGTGATCGGCTGACTGATAAGGTTTACGCACAAAACCCCGATCCAACGAGGTTTTTGTATAGAAAGCTGCCGAACCACATTTTGCGAGAGTGTGTCCGTAAAGGGGTTGAAGCCTGCCGGTAATGCTGAGCCATACTGCCAAAGTTACCAATGGCATCCCTACATTTTCTCGTGAAAATAGGACCCATTTTTGGACCCTAATTTTATCAAATCTGCTCTTAGATAATAGCCCAAAAGCTAGGGAGATGATCCTTGATTACTCGCACAATTCCACCGATTTTTTAACTAGACGGTCTCGTTTTTTACAAAAAAATGTGGGGGCACTTTTTATGCAAATTAACGACTCGCGTAAATTTTTGAAACCCTAATCAAAATTATTGCGCCCGCTGTCGGTTTTATTGCGCCACTTCTGATATATCTTCCGTCTAGCCCCCCCCCCCCCCCCCGCAGCCACCCCCTCCCCACCACCAACTCGAAAAATAATAGTAATTAAATACTCTTTAAAAAAGTGCTCGTTTATTCAGAAATTCACGAAGCATATTCACGCTGATTGGATGTTTCCAAAGTGTCTTTCCCATTTGCAAAAGTTCTTTTTAAAAGCCCATGGGGGCATGCAAATTGTGATTTGGCCGGCGTATGCAAATCCTTACAAAAACACCTAATTATTTTATATTCCCTGACGTGCCTTTATGTGCGCACCCCGCCCCCAATCGCCCATAAATAATAACGTCATTTCAGCTGGGTTTTGTTACTTTTGTAGTAGCTTGACCTCCCCCGCCAACAACTAAAACAAAAATAGGCAAAATACTGACAACCTTCCAAGGATATCAAGTGTCTCACATCTTTCAAATTTTATTTATTTTGTTTAATTCCTTAGTCTTATTGACATACAAATATTTAAACCAATTCATACAAATACAAAAGATTCCAAATGAGGAAAAAAGTTGGGCAGAAGGCCAATAAATTTGAGAAATTAATAATCACTTTATATCATAGATGATTATTACATAAGCAACGACTACATGACTGTGCACGGTAAAGCCAGGTTTTTGTATTTCGCCATTTTGTGAATAAGATTTTAAAAAGGGTAGATAAAACTTGGGAATGCCCCCCCCCCCCCTCAAAAAAAAATCCTAGATTATTTTGAAACATTTCAGAACTATATTTTGTCTAATTTAGCTATTATGTGAAAACAAATATTTGATGCGAGGCAAGTTCAACACTCGATATATATTGCGTTTATCCTTTTGTGAGGTAAGTTAGTTATTAATAAGAAAATGAAAAGACATGCAAAACCACCAAGGAAAAAAATTGTGCATACGAAGTAAAAAATATAACAAGTAAAAAAAAGTGCAATGAAATAAATCACAAAAGGACAAACACAAATGTAATTTGAGTGTCACTTATACCTGTTGCAATGCATTTTAATGGATAGAAGTTCCTGAACAGTTTATTCTTTAAATTTTCCTAAAAATTAAACGTTGTTGGTTTTCTAATAAATATACAATGGAAAGAAAGTCACGTTTTAGTTAAACCGACGTCTTGTTAAAGACGTTAAATTTAAATAAAGTTTGTTACATTTCTTCAGTTTTTAAACAATAAACTAATCCTTTTTGAAATCTTTCAAAACTCTTATGACTTAAATTGGTTTTCTTAAAAATGCACTTTCAATATCAAATTAAATTTATAGAGCAAAATTCTCCATTGTCAACTGAACAAAAAGCAAATAGAAAGCCTTTGGCGAGACCTCGTTTATAATTTACCGAGAAGATCCAATTGAATGCATTAAAGGTAAGGAGTATGAAATTATTAACTTATTTTCGCGATTAGTACACTGTATTTCCTTAAATCATATTAAATTTATTTCAAAACATTTGTGTCCTATATCCCCTTCAATTATTGAACGAAATTTCAATTCAGTTCACTGTGTCGTTCTTGAGTTATCGTCTCAACAAGGTGTGTTTTATTTTTTTCACTTAATGCCGACTTCGTTTTTATCGTAATCCACGTTGACAGAAGTCTTTATGACCAGTAAGACAAAAAAAAAAAAAAACTTATTCATGCAATAGTTTTGGATGACCCAGGACAGATCAAAGGAACATCCCTTCTCCCAGACATGTCACTGCTAAAAAGCCAGTGACACATTATTACCCTTACAATAATTTTTCAGCAAGTTTCCATTATTGTCCATTGTTAACTGTCTGTTGCAGTATCCGGTTTAAGATTATTTTAGAGGCATAGATAATTTAATGAAATCAAAATTACTTTTCATTTTATTTTAATGACGTTGCATTATGCAGTCTGATTTATCATTTCATGTTGTGCAAGCTAGTTTTTTTTAACTCAAGTTTCCGATGAGGGCATCCTTGTCCAGTAGAGCAGCTTCGTCATTGTCCAGTCTCGTCCAAGGTTGGTGGTCCTCATGTCCCACGCATGACAAAATAAACAAGCAAATTAAAAAAAAAAATTATAATATTAGGAAATCAAGCACTGTGGAGGGACAAACTACAATCAGAGGAATAACAAATTATAATCCTCACAACCTGGTCTTTTTTCGTTTTCAAAGTAAACTCAAGAAACCTCAAGAATCAGTAATGTCCAGGCCAGCAGGCGGTGTCAGTCCATCGTCGGTCCTCCCAGCTTGCGATGGCTTGAGGCAGGCTCATCCTCATCTCAGTAACACAATTCCCTCATCAGTCAGTGGTCCTCATTTCTCAACAAGGATTCAAATGACGAAAAAAAATCTGAAAGGAGGGTTCATTTTCGTCCAGACAAAGCAGCCTAGCTCATCCAGTCTGTCTCAACTTTTAGATCATCAGTTTCTTTGATGAAAGCTGCAACTCTTTCCTAAGTGGACAGGGGTACGAAAACACTGGGCCTAGCCCATTTGTTACTGAAGTGAAACATTGCAAATGTAGCCAATAATTATGTCTAAGCCTACCTATAACCAGGTCATGGGTAGGACCCAATGGAAACCAAACGATTCTACCCATGTTTCCATTATTTCCTTTTTAAAACAGACACGATTACTTTGTCATAATGTGCCGACGCTGATAATGGCAGGTTGCTTTGGAAACTGCATATAACTCGCACACTATAAACAACCATTAAAAGAAATTCACGTGACATTACGATGACAAAATGCCATCTTAATCCTTGCCGATCCCTTCCAAATCGGACTTACATTGAACATAGTACTATACGGAAGGAGGGTTACACGTAGGCTAAAATCAACAAGGAAATAATAGTTTTCTATGTTACTCTAAACCTGTCGCATATCTTGAAATGATTTCTTTTGAATTTACGTTAAGTACGATATACTCGTATCGCCCACAAAGATTTGATCGTGAAAGTCTACATTAGACCGATCTTTTTAACTACTGCAACGCTTTTTTCCATTATGGTTTTCTTGTTCTCCCCTTCAATAAAACAGCACTGTCGGCCTTACACGTTATCAAAGGTCAAAGTAAGACAACCAAATGAGTAACTCAAAGGAGAAATATATACTTGATGAAAACATGTATCCCTGCCGATCTTTCCAAATCGGACCCACATAAATGATGTAGATTAAGTTTAAACGTTTACAAAAACACACTGAAAACAGGGGCGGCGGAACCGGGGGGGGCTGGGGGGGGGGGGGGCAAACAGATTTTCCCAAGTGCCCCTTTTGCGGCCATAAATGTGCCCCCTCGAGATAAATAAAAAATGCCCTTAAAGTATCTTAGTATTTCTTAGAAGTGATCGTGAAAGTCTATATTAGACCGATCTTTTTAACTACTGCAACGCTTTTTTCCATTATGGTTTTCTTGTTCTCCCCTTCAATAAAACAGCACTGTCGGCCTTACACGTTATCAAAGGTCAAAGTAAGACAACCAAATGAGTAACTCAAAGGAGAAATATATACTTGATGAAAACATGTATCCCTGCCGATCTTTCCAAATCGGACCCACATAAATGATGTAGATTAAGTTTAAACGTTTACAAAAACACGCTGAAAACAGGGGCGGCGGAACCGGGGGGGGGGGGGGGGGGGGGGGGGGCAAACAGATTTTCCCAAGTGCCCCTTTTGCGGCCATAAATGTGCCCCCTCGAGATAAATAAAAAATGCCCTTAAAGTATCTTAGTATTTCTTAGAAGTGATCGTGAAAGTCTATATTAGACCGATCTTTTTAACTACTGCAACGCTTTTTTCCATTATGGTTTTCGTGTTCTCCCTTTCAATAAAACAGCACTGTCGGCCTTATACGTTATCAAAGGTCAAAGTAAGACAACCAAATGAGTAACTCAAAGGAGAAATATATATTCTTGATGAAAACATGTATCCCTGCCGATCTTTCCAAATCGGACTCACATAAATGATGTAGATTAAGTTTAAACGTTTACAAAAACACAAGAAACAGGGGCGGCGGAACCGGGGGGGGGGGGGGGCTGGGGGGCGCCCTCCCCCCCCCCCCAGATTTTCCTAAGTGCCCCTTTTGCGGCCATAAATGTGCCCCCTCGAGATAAATAAAAAATGCCCATTAAAGTATCTTAGTATTTCTTAGCAGTTACCATTTCCCAATAATGGTAGAGATATTTTTGATATAAACGAGGAATATGAAAACCAAGTCCCAAAACCCATACAAGACGGCCTGAACATGGGCACATAATGTATGTTTAGCATATAATCATTGGTTTTGAAGAGCACCCCCTATGTTGGAAGATGGAAAAAATCCTGGCGACGCCCATGCTTAAGTTGTACCCTTTCACATGCATAACCTGGCTATTTCTGGCCTTTTTAAAGGCAAACTTCTTGACAATGTCACAAAATTGCAGTTATTTTCGCTGACGAATAATACTTGAAAGATGTGGTGTAGGCCTAGAACTTGGGGGGAATGCCTTTAACATGCTGCTTTAATTGAAATTCAGTCATTTTCTTTACATCGATATAATGAAGTTTTTCCTTAATTTCCGTCTTTTTTTAACCTTTTTTCTGCCGTCATTTTCCCCACCGTTTACCAAAATTCGCTTTCCGACTTCTTAAAGCAGTGTAGTACCGTACCGGAAGTGGCTGCCGATTATAATTTGAAATTGTTTTTGTTGACATTATTTCGGTCATTTTTCCTAGGGCCTAGAAGTTTAGAAAATTACCGATTTTCAAATATTTATTTCAGTCTTTGGCTGCCGCTGTTAATCTTTTTACCGTAATTTTCGTCTCTTTAATTTCGTTCTTCCGCAATCGAATTGTTTTACTTTGTAGGTAAGAAAAATAACACTGATATCAAGTTTTATTTCTCTCACTAACGCTGTGATTTTTTAGCCGTGTAAACTATGTTTCGTCACTTCACTTATATGCCGCTTTCATTTTCGGTGTCATTTTCCTGTAGCTACCTGTAGAAACAGAGTGCCGTGCTGCGAGAAGAAACTCCACGTACTGTGTGATTTTCGTTGTTATTTAATTTGCACCGATTTGATTTTTGTTTCCACGTTGCGTCACACGCGTTTAGTCAAATATTTCGGGTAGGTATCGCAGTAAAGGTAAAAACAACACTGATTTCAGTTATTTTCGGCGTAAATTTCATCATTTTCTCAGCCACTTGTTGGAAGCGGAGAAGCATTTCTGTGAGAAAAAAATCCGCTCATGATTTGATTTTCACTGCAATGTATTTTACAGACATTTGACAATTTTTTTCTTCAATTTTCGTCATATTCGTTGTCAAATATTTTAGGTATAGGTATCTCAGTAAAGTTAACAAGTAACAGTGATTTAAGCTATTATTTCTTCCAATTATTTAGCGTCAGAATTCGTATTTTCGTCGTTTTTATGTTTTATAATATTGCAAATTTTTGATCCAATATTCCGCAAATTGGAAAGTGTCTGATGAGGGCATCCTTGTCCAGATAGAGCAGCTTCGTAATTTTCCAGTCTCATCCAAGCTTGGCGGTCATCATCTTCTAAAACATGACAAAAAGAGTAAACTAGCAAAATTTAGATTTAATATTTAAAGAGGAAATCAAGCATCGTAAGAGGTGACATAGTATTAAAGGAATAACAAATTTAAGTGTAGGCCTACATATCCCTGGTCTCTTTTCAAGTAAACATACCTCAAGAATCGGTAATGGCCAACCAAGCAGGCAGAGTCAGTCAACCGTCGGTCCTCCCATCTTATGGTAGCTTGGAGCAGGCTCATCCATCTCAGTAAGACAATTCCCTTATCAGTCAGTGGTCCTCATGTCTGTAAAAAGATTCAAACGACGAAAGAAAATATCCGAATTATTATTAAGAAATATCTGAAAGGTAGAGCAAGAGGGGGGGGGGGAGAAATGTTCGAATTAACCCCACAAAGCAGTGCACCACTACCAGCACTCTTTATTTGTGGGAGAATATAGAAGAGCGCCAGATCACCCATTTTGATTACTTGTTTCTGCTTATTCTTTAGGTACATGTAACTAAAAACTAACCTCAAGAATTAGTAATGGGAAGCCCAGCAAGCAGGTCATCCGTTCATCTGTCGGTCCTCCTCCCTGCTTCCGGTTCCTCGAGTTTCTGTGTGATGAGGCTGTCGGAGCCCTGACGATGTCTTGAGGCAGGGTCATCCTCATCTCAGTAAAGCGATTCCCTCATCAGTCAGTGGTCCTCACTTTGCTGAAAGGATTCAAATAACGAAAGGAAACATTTGAATTATTGAGCTGTATTCGTGCCAGGGATCGAAAGGGGAAAGAAAACATTGAATTAACCCAACAAAGCAAAGCCCTGCTACCAGAACTCGTTTGTGGACGAACATAATAACAGAGTCAGATCGCCCATTTAAATTAGTTCTGTGACTTGATTGTTCCTGTTAAGAGGAGGCCAACGTGTAAACTAACCTAATAATCAGGAATGGGAAGCCCAGCAAGCAGGTCATCCGTTCATCTGTCGGTCCTCCTCCCTGCTTCCAGTTCCTCGAGTTTCTGTTTGATGAGGTTATTGGAGCCCTGACGATGTCTTGAGGCAGGCTCATCAATCCCAGTAGAGCAATTTCCTCATCAGTCAGTGGTCCTCATTTTTCTGAAAGGATTCAAATGACGAAAGAAAACATTTGATTTATTGAGCTGTAACCGTGCCAGGGATAGAAAGGGGAAAGACAACATTGAATAACCCCACAAAGCAAAGCCCCGCTACCAGAACTCGTTGTTTGTGGACGAACATAGAAGAGCGCCAGATCGCCCATCTGGATTAGTTCTTGATTGTGTCTGTTTAAACAGGCTACATGTACACAAACCTGATAGTCAGTAATGGGAAGCCCAGCAAGCAGGTCATCCGTTCATCTGTCGGTCCTCCTCCCTGCTTCCGGTTCCTCGAGTTTCTGTGTGATAAGGCTGTTGGAGCCCTGACGATGTCTCAAGGCAGGCTCATCAATCTCAGTAAAGCAATTCCCTCATCAGTCAGTGGTCCTAATTTTTCTGAAAGGATACCAGAAGTCGTTGTTTGTGGAAGAACATATAACAAAGTCAGGTCGCCCATTTTGATGAGTTCTGTGACTTGATTGATTCTGCGAAGAGGAGGCCAACATGTAAACTAACCTCAAGAATCAGTAATGGGTAGCCCAGCAAGCAGGTCATCCGTTCATCTGTCGGTCCTCCTCCCTGCTTCCGGTTCCTCGAGTTTCTGTGTGATGAGGCTGTTGGAGCCTTGGAGGGTTGATTTTCGTCCAGACAAAGCAGCCTAGCTCATCCATGCAGTCTCAACTTTTAGATCATCAGTTTCTTTGATGAAAGCTGCAACTTTTTCCTAAGTGAACAGGGTTACGAAAACACTGGGCCTAGCCCATTTGTTACTGAAGTGAAACATTCCAAAGCATTATGTCTAAGCCTACCTGTAATAAGGCCACTTGTTACCAAATAGAAACTAAAGAATTCTACCCATGTTTGCACTATTTACTTTTAAAAGCAGACATATTTTTTTTGTCATAATGCACACGAACATGTGCCGACGCCGAAAGTGGCAGGCTACCAATAAGTTGTACCCTTTAACAATGTACTTTTTTGGTGGGGGGGGGGGGGCAATTAGGTCTTTTTGAAGGCACTTCTCGACAATGCCAACAATTTTGATGTTTTTAAATGCCGCTGTATATATCTGAAATTCAGTCATTTTCTAAACAGATATTTTGTTCATTATGGTGTTTTTTTTCCTCGTAATTTCGTCAATTTCATTTTCTTTTGCTGCCGTCATTTTCCCACCGTTTGCAAAAATTCGCTTTCCGACTTTTTGAGGCAATGTAGAACCGGTATTTACTGCCGAGCATAATTTCATACTTGTTTTAAATCTTAATTTCGGTCTTTTTTCTGTGGCCAAATTTGGAAAGGCATCGAAGTTTAGAAATAAGCACCAATTTGCAAGTACATGTACATGTGTTTACTTCTCTCGTTGCGGATGATTAATTTTTAAGCCGTTATTTTCGTCATTTTGATTTGTTATTTCCATAACCCATTTTGCTTACTTTGTGGCAAGAAAAATAATACTGATTTCGGGTATTTTTTACTCTCACTAACGCTGTGATGTTTTTTTAGCGTTATTTTCATCATTTTCCTAGCGTGTAGGCCTACACGTAGAAAGCGGAGTGATTTTTTTTTGGGAAAACAAAATCGCTTACGATGTGATTTTTGCTACAATTTATTTTGGACCGATTTGAATTTTGTTTTCAGTTTTCGTCATACGCGTAGTCAAGTAAATATCCGGGTAGGTATTGCAGTAAAGGTAAAAATAACACCAATTTCAGGTATTATTTATTCCAATACTGCCTAACATTTTAAAGTTGATTTCGTATTTTCGTCAATTTGAGGCTTGTCGCTTCAAAACCGTAACATTTTTTGCCCGACGTATTGCAGTTGCGAAAAAAAATAACACTCACATTTCAAGTATTATTCCTTTCAACATCTGCTTCAATTTTGCTTAACGATTTGACATTTTCGTAGCCGAAACGATTAATTTGATTTAAAAACATTTAATTTTGTCTATTGTCAGAGACAACAGACGGATACCATTAAAAGAATCACACCACACAGAGAGCAATGCACACAAAGGCAAAAAATCAAACATGCAACATTTACAATGAAACAAAATACAATCTACTTTTGAGTTTTTTCCCCCAAAAGTCATTCTCTCTGTAAGCATTTTTTTACTCGCAGATAAGTTTATCTTTAAATACTTAATAATGAACCGAGCTTAAAAGCTCTTCACAGAATAAAAAAGTCTTTTATATAAATTGATGTAAAGTATAATTAACCAAAGTTATGACTTTTGATTTTACTACGATCATTAAAATATGGTCAACTGTCAACTGTGCCCTCACTGCTCACAGACTAGCGAAGTATAGAAAATGCGGCGCTTTTACAGACGCTGTTAATCCCAGATTTTTTTAACTTTTAGTGTTACTATAAGAGCGTATATGTCACCTTAACAGAGAGCTCATTTAGGAATTAGTGTTATCCAACAGTTTTCTCTGTATGGCTATTTAAGTAGTAACGTCCTTCCGTGTTTTTGTTAAATGGTTTAAGTTTTGATGTTCAAGTTCTTCTGAAGGAAGGGGCCTCTTGGAAATCGGCGCTAATATGCACCGAAGAGGGTATCCCTTACAAGTGACACTGCACCAGGCATGGTCACTGTCAATTGCCGATGGCCTAGATTTTATGAATCTTGCTTGCTCTTAAACATTTTATACAATTATAAAGAAATTATATCGTCGTTGGTGGACAACGCACCAGGCATTGCCACTTTCTGTAGTTGTTTTACTAACTTTTGTTTAATTAGTGTTTTGAGTTGGGCAAAGTACCAGCCAATGTCCGTATAGAGGGCAGCATTCCAGTTGATGATCGATAAAACATCACAAAATGACTCTCAATCAATTTCAAAATCGACTTTAAATTTGCGAGTGAAGTTTCTTAATAGCGAAAATAAAATAAAATACACCAGTACTTTCAAGTTTAGGGGGACAGTGTTATTCATTAGACAGATTTTCGTTTGCATTAAGTTAGTGTTATTTTTATATATTGTTTTTTTTTTTTTTTTTTAGAAAACTTTAAAAACTCCCCATCGCACTGCCTCAGGCTCAATGTGCGCATGCTCGCAGTGGGCTATGCTTGCTCCCTAATTTTAGTTTGCTTCATTTTCCCTAACACTGTTCATTGCACTTTGCTAAACAGTTCCCTAGATTTTATCACTTCGAAGTATGGTACACGAAATCGCGCGATTACGCAGGTACGCGGATATGCGGATATGCGGATACGCGGGTACGTGGCTACGAAGACCAAGAGGAGATGAGCATATTGTTCCTATTTAGGACCTACTACTATACATATGACAATCACCACGTACGTACGTGATACATTTAATTATCACATACTTACGTGATAATATAATATTACGTACTAACGCAATATTAGTATTATTATTGCGTACATACCTGATAAATAAGTACATATTACGTACGTACATGTATTGCATATGTAAGTGATAATACGTGTATCCTTAAACGAGTATACGTTGTGTATACGTACTTAATAATTATCACGTGGGCCCTACGTACGTAATAATTATCACGTGGGCCCTACGTGATAATATTACCTACGTACGTGATAATATTCAAGTACGTGCGTGAGTTACGTACGTACGTGACAATAACACATACGTAATAGTATTAGGAAAATGAAAAGAAAAAAAAAACTCCCATGTCCCTTCACGGTCTTCGTACCACACCGTCTCCGGTCTAGCCAGAAAAAAAAACCAAAAAAAAAACCACGAGTTTGCGAACATTACGTATGAATATGCCTTATTGTCGAACGGAAAAGCGATAGAACGCGGTGCGGAGGTTTCTAAACACGTATGAGAATATTTCGCCGAATCTATATGCCTATAACATTATCCTAACACTCCTACAGATCCAGCAGCTGCTTTGCTTTGCGGATGCTGCATAATGCACGCCTGCAACGTCTGCACCCCTCCCAACTTGACCTAAAAAAAACCCAACTAATTAATTGTTTGCATCTGTTTGCATCACTTGCACCAACGTTTTGCCAAGAATGTTGATTAGGTTTTATATTGTTTCAATTTATTTTTTAGTTTCTGAGACTGAGGTGGAGAACGTCTTTTAACCTTCTCCAGAAAGGGAGTTACATAAAACCTGCAAGTCAATGTGACAATGAAGGAGACACTGTCACAGGTTTATCATTGAAAATACTGGTGTAAATTAGCGAGTTTAATTATTCAGGGACAACAATTTGAAGAAAAAAAAAACTTCCACTGGAATGCTACCCTTCAACTGTTCCACGTGCGAACGCAATGTCACTGCACGTATCAAATTCCTATGCAAATTAACTCACGTGCGAACACAATGTCACTGCACGTGTCTGACAAATTCTTTCGAAATTGTATTTTCTCCCCACGTGCGAACACAATGTCACTGCACATTTCAGACGAATTTCTATGCAGATGTTATACTCAACGTGCGAACGCAATGTCACTGCACGTATTTTATAAATTCCTATATGCAAATTAACACACGTGGGAACATAATGTCACTGCACGTGACAAATTCCTATTGGCATTGCATTATTATTGAATAAAATAATCATTTTCGTTCAACCTTAATTCTGCTGTAATTTATCTTCCATGTAAACTTTTTTTTAACATCCAATGAAATTTAAGGAGTTCTCTGTTTCAGGTGACAAAACTCTCTACTTTTACCAGAGCTTCCTACAAAAAATTAAAGCATTTTACTGCGTTGAAATGAAGTAATTTATCCGCTCAGCCAGAAGACAATTCCTGGCCGGCCAGTGGCTTCTTTTTTGCAGTCTCAAACTTTATATCTAAACTGCTTCGGATTAACGGAGCCTATAGCCACGCCCCATTTTACTTACAAACGTGCGAGCGCAATGTCACTGCACGCGTCTGCTATGTCGAATTTCTATGCAAATTAAACGTGCGAACGCAATGTCACTGCACGTGTAGGACGAAATATTATTCAAATTTTATATTTTACGTGCGAACACAATGTCACTGCACGTACCAAATCCTATGCAAATTTTTTATCATTCGTGCCGAACACACGTGCGAGATGAATTCTTATGCAGTATTGTACGTGCGAACACAATATCACTGCACGCTTGAGACGAATCCCTAATCACTTATTATTGCTTATCCCCAAGTTATACTTTATACACAAATAAAGGCCTTACACTTACTTAAAGTGGCCCTAGATTTTGTAGGAGAACCTTATACACATGTACATTAATCAGAGACATGTAACGTACCTCTTTCTACTCTTGAAGACATTGCCCCTCTTGGTGTTGATCGGAGTAAATGGTAACGATGTATTTGTTAATACAATATAAATTGGACACAATGTGCACGTTCAATTAGAATAAATACAGAGCCAAAATGATAATTTTGAGCAGTGTAATGAGTTGCATGCAGTGAGCGTGAGGAGCACAACGACAGTAATGAAGGCCTAGCCCGGCACCAAAACAACAGCTAAAGATAAAGCCCGTGCACACTAGGTCGCTGTACCATGGTGATCAACGAGGCATGAATGTAACAATAGGGCTGGAGTCTGAGTGGAAATCTTCTAAACACGTTATTTGCATAATGTGCATTCAGCACAAGCCTGGGTTAGAAATGAGAATCGGATAGAATGCTAATGACGTAATCCCGATGGGCGATTACATTTTGGTCACTTAGAGGGGTGGCACAGTTTCATACTGATCAACTTGAGTTGAAAACAATTGCCTGTTTAAATAAATCTGTGAAGGACGAAAACAAAATGTACTGCACCCACTTTTGGGGGTTGAATTTTTGGACTGACCGGTTACAGTCGCATCACCGGGGCACTTGCTCAATAAAAGGCATCTTCCGTTGGTGTAGCAGCGTATCCAGCTTTATTATTATTTTTTTTTGGGGGGGGGGGCACATCCGTGCTGAACTTGATGTCGACATGTATTTTTCACCGGACACTTGGCCTCCGTAAAATCAAATGGGGGGGGGGGGGCTGGGCTGGTACCAAGTTTACAAAAATTGGAGCGCTCTTCGAAACCGGCCATTTTATTCTGGTTCTGTATCTGGTGGAATATACTGCATGCATAATCTCATCAGTAGGGATGTAATATGCAGACGCCATGGTGACCGAGCAGATATGTACATGAAGTTGTAGCGTTTTCAGATTATTAATTCTCAATTATCAATTCGTCTTAATTTTTAGTTAATTATCACACTTTAATTATCAATGTTCCTTTTTAACTTTTTAATGATTAATTCTCTCGAATGTATTACTCATTGTTTTCCTTGTAAGGCTATGCAATGTGTAGTCCCTATACTTTTATACAGAGCAAATGACCTTCACTGCCCACACACAAGTCTTTGGTCACTAAACCAAGTTACTTTCAAGATCATTGTTTTAAGGAACTATATTACTCATTCCTAGTCATTTTTCTAAGACTCAAGGAAACCACGATATGACTAAGTTTCCCCATTCTTAAGGATTTCTTATTCTCAAGCCTTCCTGTTTCCACCAGTATATAAGTGCTGCTCCACCAGCAGTATCTCATTCTGTTTCATTTTGTTTCAATTCCAATTCTGTTCCATTTCTATTCTAGTCTATTTCAGTTCACCCAGTTCTCTTTGTCTCAGTTCACTGTAACCAGTTCAATCAATCAATGTGTATTAAAATATTGTTGTGGAATAAACAGTCACGGTAAACACAGTCCTCAACCAAATTGTGTATCGACCTATCCATTCCCCAACAAAGTGGGCCCCCTGATGATGTCATCTATGTTAAGAGACAGAAATTCTGACTTGAAAATTCCAATGCTTGGTGCTTGACGTATTTCCGGTTGAAATTTATAATGTGCCCATTTTCAAGGCCCATTGTAGAGGTTTTAGGGCTCGGGTTTACATATTCCCCGCTTATACCGATTGCCACTTAATAGGGCGAGCACTGGACCAATTTCGACTCAGTGGTATCTGTACCGTCAACACGGAACCGTTTTGGCGCAATCCAGCCAGCATAGCCCGCTTCTGGTCCTGTACCGTTTAAACTGTATGGTACTGCCACAGCAAACCCATGATTAGCTGGTATCGGCCTGTTTACTGAGTCAATGCCATCTTTGAACCTAGGCAGGTAGAAATCTCTGGCACTCCACGATGTGATACAACTCTGCCTCTCTACAACTACATGCAGCTAACCACTTTTGTAGCTCCATTTGATTAAGACGGGTCTGTGATCGGCTAGTCCTGGTTCTCAAGCGGCTGTTTTCCTTTGAACCCATGTCGATGTAGCACCTGTTGGGAGGTTTTCCGCCGTTTTTATAGTCTAACCATGGCAATCGGTGGGCGTTTGCTCCCAGTCGTTGCTTCCAGTGTTGGAGTCTTGCCACTTCCCTGGATGTTGTGAAGGATTGGACATGGCTGAGGAAGCTTTTCTTGACTTCAGCCTTTTGTGCCGAAACTTGCCGTCCCTGGAGGAGGCGACACTCGTCATTTGTAAATATTTGTACATCTTAGCTCGGCTGGCAACTTCCCTTCGGCAATCCGAAGAGGAAATGCCAGCAAGGAGGTGCAAAATACTTGTGTTGGTGGGATTCAAGCATCCAGTGATCAAACTGCCTGTTGTTTAAGGCTGGGTCAGGTTTCATGGTATGGGCTGATCTCTCCCAGACGGGGCACGCATACTCTGCTGAAGAATGGCACGGAGCCAAAACGGTTCATCTAAGGGTGTGTGGTTTGGCTCCCCTTTCGGACGGAGGTTGTTCAATTTCTTTATGATGTTGTTACGGGGAACTAAATTTGGATGACTTGAAATGACAGGATGCGATGGAGGGTCGCTCTAAGGTAGACAGGATGGCTGCAAGGGGCTAATAATATTCCGGACCAGTTGATGTTAAGGGTCGGTTGGCTTCGCGGTTAACGTTCCTGAGAAGGAACGAGCAGACTTGGGTCTAAGCGAGATTGGCACGGAGGTGATTGCGCTCATAGTATAGAGACGGCTAAGTGCTTCTATGGCTTCGAACGGAATCTTTCCAGATGTAACACAAAGATCGTCTGCGTAGATGAAACGCTCAATATCCTGGTCTAAATTAAATTGTAATTTGTTTTGTGTAGACGTATACAGCAACGGAGCTAGCACAGTGCCTTGAGGTGGGCCGTTTTCTTGCCGTCGACAGCGTTTTTGTTTTGTTCTGAACAACAAAGAAGCATCAGTCTTTGAGAAGGGCTCCGATATGATCCGTAACTATGATGCGAGGTATATTGGGTCAACTTCAAGATCATTTTCAGGAGGCGGCAGTGGTTTACAGTATTACATGTGACCGAAAGATCCACAAAAATAGCTCCACTTCCAAACCCATCCTCAGCTTGCTGTGCTTGTTGGCTTGTTGTTGACTTGCAATGTCGCAATCCAGGTTTCGGGGGGGGGGGTAGGAGGGATGTTTCAGCAACGGGGACAAGCCTGTTTAGGATCAGGCACTCGAACATGAACAAAAACAGTAATGGGTTCCTGTCTGGACCATGTTACCTGTGGCCTCCAAAGCCTGCAGTGAACTAGTTAATGTGGCTTCAAGAATCAAAGTGTATGCGGTGCAAGACGTGCATGCAGCACCTTGCTGAGTGCAATATACTCTGCGCTTGACATTGTGAGAATAAGGGCGAGCACTTTTAAACTTTAAAGTTTTGTGAGTGATGACATTTATTCTCACATACTGTTGTTTTACTTGTACTTCATACAGTATTTTCGGTGACTGCAGTATAAATCATCGGTATTCTGTTAGAGATTTTATCTTCAGTTTGACTATTTTGTGTGTATAACTAAAATCATCTTGGTCTCTTCTGAATAAAAGAGTTGTTTTTCCTGTCACTGAAAATGTATGTTTTGCCACCTAGACAGTAGCCATATTTGGATCGTTACTATACGTATTCAGTCACTTATATGCTTTAGAAAATGTTATTGAAGTAAGGATGTGTAAGTAGAATCACCAAAATATACTTTTCAAAAAATTAAATGATAAAAAATATACCCAAATATGGGAACAAACATATTACAGGGCAGGTATTTACGATTTATGCAAATTAGGTACCCGGCTTCCCAAAAGAATTTCAGGTGTCACCCCTTCTAAATATCTTTTCTAGAGCTATAAGAATATATCTGCCAAGTTTGGTGCTTTGGACCAGTCGGTCACGTTCTTGTCAAAAATTCGGTCTAAGCCACCTGACTAAATCCATCCACAGCAAAAGCAAATGTGACATATTCCCTTTAACCAAATTGGCCAATATCGATTTTTCAGACAACCACACAATACCGACTTTGCGAGGTTTTAGAATGATGAATCACCCGATCGGAAGTTAAAAGAAAAATTTGAAACTAATGTCTCAAATTTGCTGCTTCTTTTTTAATTATAAAGTTCTGGACTCCTTGGAGAGTTGTGAGTATTTCACTGATTTTTTTAAGTGAGGGCATGGTCTGTACCGTACATGCCCTCCCATAGACTATGGTACGGCCGATGAACGATGTCCGTGATAAAAAGTAAAGAGCGCCATCATTTGACAGATTTCGTTTCTAAATTCAATCGAGTGGTTAAAACCGGCATAACAAAATTCATTTGCTCCCTCTCGAGGTTTGATAAAATTTATTTTTAATTTGAGCACTTTTATTACAAGAATATAATATTTATCGTAAAAAAAACCATAATTATGTTGATTACAGTACACCTCTAACAGTTACGACCCGGGCACTACATAACTCGATACACGGTTGGCTTTCTGCATCTGTATGTCTACCTGTCAGTATGAGGAATAAGCCAATCAGCACAGACCTTAGTGAAAGCTTCTTGACAATGTTAATGTTTACGTCTGTTTCAGCGCTACACTACACAGACTATGCCACAGCCATAGTGTTATTCGACCTCGACAATGTCAAATTGCGTTCCGATTTTATCCAGGCTATTTTAGGTTTTCGGTGGTCCTATGAAAGAGGTGAAACATGAGTGAATCTCGGAGAAGACGAAACAGTAACGGGACAAAGCAGAGGTTTGGAAATGGGGCAAGCGAAGGAGATTCCGCGACTAAAAACAACAGTCACAGGCATGACAGGCATGACCCGTTGATTACGACGAAGCCCCCGTTTTCTTCAACTTCAAGCTCTGTCGCAGGCCATCATGCCCCTGGAGGGTTGGCTGTCGGAAGAAATCCCTCAAATAAATCCAGTGAACGCGAGGGAAGCAACTCTGGCAAGTCAGGCAGTTTAGCACCATCGACTCTGCGAGGGAAATCTTCCAATTCAAAGGTTTGGAAATGGAATAGGCCTCAGTTCGGCATTCCAACTGCGCATGCACACAATGATATTAATAATTACGCAGTGGCTATTGTTACGGCAGCCGTAACGCATTTCCCATTTTCTATCGTTACGGTAGACTGCAACTTTTAAAAAAAACATGACAAGAAAATATAAAATTAGAAGGAAAAAAGTGAATCTGAACGTTATGAAATTCGGACTTTATTTCCCTTTTAAAAAAAATCCTCCAAAGCCTCAGGTTAGAAAAGGGAAAAAATTCGAGTGCAAAACTGAGATTCGAACCCGCAACCTCGCGGTGCAAAATCCTACCCTCTATCGCCTGAGCTGTCGCACTGCTCGCTAAAATGTGTGGAAACAAATAATTATATACTTGCGTGCATATCAAAAAAGTATCGTAGAGGGCGCTAAACAACGACTGCCGTAACGATAGCCACTTCGTAATAATTATGGTTCACAATCACAGGTCATTAGGGATAATCAAATGCGCATCGAAGGTACTCCTAGAACTATGAGGCTCCGCGTGAGCGGAGCCTCATAGATCAAGAAGCCCGCAAAATTGCCTGCAGCACAAAACACTAATAAAGTACAAAAACGTCCATCAAAATGCAGCCATTTCACACAGAACCGCTGCACAGTTTGCCCCTATACTCCGTACTTTATCTCTTGACATACTCACGTATCTTGTGCGGAACTAACATAGGTGGATTCTGTCGGTTTTTAGGCCAAAATGATGAAAAATATGCCCTTTCCGCACTGAGCCAACCTGACACTTGAAACGTGCAAGCGAAATGATGTGCATGCGTACAAGTGCATGTACCGTACCCCCCGCGGCGCGCTCCGAGCGAACCGAAAAATCATCGCTCGATCATAATGCGTGCACGTTTCAAGTGTCAGGTTGGCTCAATGCGGAAAGGGCGATTTTTTTCATCATTTTGGCCTAAAAACCGACAGAATCCACCTATGTTAGTTCCGCACAAGATACGTGATTATGTCAAGAGATAAAGTTCTCATAGTTCTAGGAGTACATCAAAGGCGCATGAACGTGCAGGGAGACAGGCGCACAACAAAAACATAACAGCCCCCGCTAGACATTAATCCACTCTCGTCAACTTCCAGTTTAGTCCCTGGTGGACCGTTCGGGAGTCTGATCTACAGTACAACTTACATGTACAACAAAACACTTCTGTATCTGTATCTGTATGGTTACGTTGCAGAAACCTATTCAGGCATAATATTGCAACTGAGTATAGGTACTCAAGGCACTGGGAGTTATGTCTATTATTAGATGAATGAAGTAGGCCTACATGAGAAATATGAGACCCATTATGTAGCACCTAATTGGTTTACAAGGTGCTGTGGCCACAGCCGGGACACCGGGGTGAACCCCTTGTCTGAACGACAAGTGTACTGGGTTCTTTAACGTGCATTACACAATACACGGGACCTACAGCTTTACGTCCCATCCGAAGGGCGAAGCAAGAATGGTTAAAGTGCCTTGCTTACGGGCACAAGTGTCTGCCGGCGGGCTCGAACCCACGTCACTGTTGCCTCTGAAACACCAGAACATGAGTTCGGTGCTCTTAACCGCTATGACACTCCATTGCGTGTTAATTACGAGCAGAACGGGCGTTCATGTGACATCGCGTAACGTCGCGTAACGTCATGTCAGCAATATTATTCCGTATGTCATGTATGTGGGTCACTTCTTTAGTAGCCTAAGTGTTCACTTTGGGCCTTTTGAAAATTTGGAAAGTTGTTTTTTCAGATTTTGAATTTCTTTCATGGGATGTGATCATTATGTTGTACGGCAACTATAATTATCGCATGGCACAATCTTTAGGGTCAGATTTTGGTCAGATATTGCCTGATATCGCACCGCAAAGCATCAAGAATAAAACAATTTCCGCTGCCCTTAAGCGGGCCCCAGACACCACGCCGTTAGGACTTAGCGCTACACACTCGCATTACTTTTAATCACATTACATGTATGTCCCCTGCCCCCTTGTCCTTTTGCGTAGGTGCCACAACTTGCCTTCACCATTTGCTGCTTGTTACATTTCATGCCCCCCCCCTTTAGAAAATCCTGGATCCGCCCCTGTCTTTAGGAATGGGGCCCATTCTACACAGTCGCTCACCGTTGTGCGCATGTGTCAGTTTTCAACTTAGTGAGTAGTGTTTCTCAGACCCGACTTTGCTCCCCTTTTAAAAGTTCCTTTAGAGCTATGTCAAATCAAAAAGAAAAACTAAATCTAAGCACTCCAATTAAAAGAAGCATCTGGTTTAAAACAGTAAAAGTAAGAAAATATTTTGGGAAAATCAAGTAAAACATAAAAGTAGGCCTAGTTCGTACTAGTCCAAAAATTTGGGACTCTCAATACTGTGCATGAGAGTCCCAAAACTTAAGGTATTGAAAACATGCAAAACAAGAAAATAAACTGGCACCTAAAACAACCAGTCCAACACAGCTTCAGTACTGCATCAATCAACCATGCCAAAAGAATTTAAGAAACATGTGGCATGAAGCGGGAACTAGTCTCAATTTATTACACATTTCTCCATAGTCAAGCCACCAGACTATTGACACTGAATGAAGAGGTCAGTCTTTTCAAATAATAGATGGATCATGGATGGACATGTACCAGTCTAGTATTTAGCCCCATTTTGAAATCACTTGACTTCCCTCTCATGTGCAAAATATTGAAGAAAAGTCTCCTTTAAAAATGGAATTGAGTCTGCAAACTTGGTTGGTGAAATACTGAGGGCATTTTCTTTGCCCCAGTGGCATTTTTTGAGAAATTTGCTGGCTAAACTGTGAGTAAAGTGGGCCTGATTTAGTTTTGCACGTTTCAGAGCACTCCAGAGCCCTGTCTGAGTTCGTACATGTATGTAACTCCCATGTGGTGTCCAATCCAGGCGTCTCTCAAAAGTGGAAAAAAACGTGCCCGCTTTTGTTGGCGCACGGAGCCCATAGCTATTCAGTTTGCTATTGTGTGGTGTCTCCTGTCCTTTAAAATGAGGAAGAATACAACGTACATGTAGGGCCTATACATTTCTTCCTGACTCTGCAGTTTATCGTACTATTAGGCCTATTGTTTGAACGTGCCATTTTGGATTGTAATGTTCTTAGAGCATAAGTTAGCCCTATACTGGTAAATGTGGCTTCTCGGTATTGTGAGCCACACTTCAATGCATGCTATATTAACTGAACAGTTTTTTTTTCTGAACTTGAAAACAAAAACATGATGGGTCCCTCCAAATGCATGTTTGTGCTGACAGATCAGACTCCTGCACTCATACCAGATGTCAGCGGCATCTGGTTCTTCTGTAAGGGATCCCCCAAAGTACACATCATTGGACCAAACTTGTTTTCCACTCTAGTGGCTGAATTGAGATTGACGCTGTTACTGTGTGCCCCGTCTTCATACATGTACCTTTGCTGTGTTAGACCCTTCCACCAATGAAAGCTTGCCATAATTACGTGTTCCACATGGGCATTAAGGGTAAACAATCACTTTAACCCTAACCGTCCCAAATCCTCCAAAATCCTTTTCGCAAATTGGAGGAATTTGCAGGATTGAGGTTACATGGCAAAAGTGCGTTACTGATTTTGGAGGACGCACTGTGTCAAGGTCTTGGGCCTGACCTTGCGTTGTTTATTCTCAGCCATGCATAATTTAGTCCTTGATTATACTTGAAATCCTCCGCACTGCTCCAAGATGTCACTGCCTCTGCCTCGACATATTGATAGTCATAGCCGGAGGATTTTTTTACAGGATTGAGGCAGTGGTCACCCTTCCACGGACCACATTCAAGAAATACTGGAGGAATTTGCAGGATTGAGGCTATATGCTATTTTTCCACGAGGCTAATTGGAGGATTTTGCAGGATTGAGGCTACATCCTAGGAAAAATGCCTAGGGAGTTAGGGTTAAGGGATTGACTAAAAATTCTTGAGATCTCTGTCCATAAATCTGATTATAGAATTGCTCATTAATAGCAAGAGTAATGTTTCTTGTTTCTTGCAGGTGTCCTACACACGTTCCCAGAGCTATGACAAAGTGCGTCGTATTGTCAGTGAAGAAGGAAGACAAGCTCGCAATCTTGTCACATGGAATGTTCCAGTGGATGACAGCGATGACAGTGACAATAATGGTAATGAAAGTGACTTTGAAGTGGTTGAACTGTTCACGGACTTTGAACTTAGGGAATCACTCAAGAATTTTTTTGTTTAATTTACCGTACAATTGTACGTCATGGTAAGTAAAAGCAGCGTCATTTCAAATATTATTTGGAATTTTGTTCAATTGTGGTGAAGTGCGAGCATCACATGTACATATACGTATGTACATTGGTCGGTGACCTATTTGGCCTAGTGCAGTAGGCTGATTTCTGGCCTTTGTTGCATAATGTTACATTCGTCGTTGTCGGCATCCTTCGATCTTGTGCTGGAACATCGCCTGCTGTGGCTATAAAGGCCGATACGTGAGTGACAGTCTCTGCCGCACACGGTGCACCTCAAGGGGGTGTCCTGAGGGGCTGCCTGACGGCTGTTCTTTCTGCGAGCGCACTTGTCCTCGGTGGCCTGAGTTTATACCAATATTTCTGGGAGCAGAAACTAGTCTATCAGTGGAAAGAAACAACTTGCAAGTCATGTTGCAAGAAAACCAAATACCGAATGTAATAGGGCTCGCTCAATGACTGTCGTCTCTGTAGGAGAACTGCAACCGCGTAGTTTACGCAATCAAGCACGCTTTGCACAGTGTTGAAAATGTTCCAAACACGTGTGCTTGTTGTTGAACTGTGTTCGAAATACGACGCAGCCGATGCGCGTTATGCAAGTTGACGCTCAAAATGCCGATGCACGTGGATGGTCTGTAGGAAATGACATCATTCGAACTAGACCTATATTGGTTTGTTCACATGGCTGAAATTTGCATATGTGTTGATTGAGAATTAGACAAGCTGCTCACCAGGATTTGATTGCCACCTGTCAGAACATCATGTATTGATATTTTTGTAAGCACCGTCGATATCAGAATTTTCAATAATCGATCTATCCCATGTAAAAGTTCAAGACCAAAAAGATGACTCTTTGATTGAAAAAAGAGCAGCTTTATCCAGAGCGTCATTGCTCTAACTTTTTAAACAAATCTCAGCGCTGGCAGTTTGTTCAGAATGGGAGGTTTCTTTTGAGGTTTTACATTGGGGGAGACCACGAATTCAAGTGAACGCAGAGCACAAAGCGACGCCGCATGGTATTTTCCAATATTTTCATTTTGTGTCACAAGCACAAGTTAGCGCGTTTTATTTTAATATGTACAGCAAACGATATATACACAAAGTAAAAGCAAAAATGGGAGATTTATTTTGACGATAATCTGACGCATTTTGATATTTTCGATATCATTCCTCAATATTGAAAATTTTGATATTTCAATATGATTAAAACAATTGCTATCGGCGATATCGATGTCACAATAATATCGAATAAGCGAGAAATCTTGATATATCGATGGTGCTTATTTTTATGGTAGCGGACTACCTGATATTTAAAAGATGCAAACTGAGAAGATTAAAGTTTATAACATCTTCATCTTCTCAAGACCACTTACATTTTTTGAATATTCATATCAGAAAAATGCTATTCAGATATTCGGTGGGTGATCGAATATTTGAATATTTAGTAAATTCATTCAGCTCAACCCCAAAAGTATCGATGATATTGTGAACGAAGAACAAGGGTGTAAATTTGTACACAAAGAAAAAAAAAATCAATTACATGTGCGTTAATTGGGAGACTGACTGATTGTTATACTGTATTATTATTTATATCAGGCATCCAGCGGTAAAAATAAATCAGTGTATTGTAAATGTATGCTTTTGTAAAACGTACCCAGATGACAGCAATATTGTCAGTAAAAGTACCCAAATTGCAGACAATGTTACTTTTGATATTGTCCGGCGCGCCATCCTCCAGGCATTTTCACTGGTTTCCGCATGATCAAGAGTGTAGAAACTCACAGTTGTCAACCACTCATCAGAGCGTAGCGCGGTACCGTCAAACACAGACACCCATGCAGCGAGCAGCGGGCCAGGTATAAGCGCACTGATGTCAATAATCACAATGGCAGCTTCAAATAGTTTGACGAAATAGGAGAAATGAAGATGGTGTCTTGAATGTATTTCTTGCGAATCAGTCGGATATAAATAATAAATAAATAAAGTCAGCCGGGTATAAATAATAATAATAGTATTGGATTTTTTTTTCTCGGGGGATACAAGATGTATATATTGCACGCGCTATGACGATGTTGCACTCGTCTTTGACTCGTGCAATATTGTCATAGCTCGTGCAATATATTCTTGTATCCATTTCAAAGCCATCCAGTATGTAATAATTGTTTTGTTTTCAGGTAAACCAGAAAGGCGGAGGAAACCAAAAGCCAGAAGCAGTGCTGTCACTCGGAGTGCCCGCTTGACACCACGGGCCACAACTCCCCGCAAAAAGAATGTGCCCCACCCTGGAAATAGTCCCAGGGACCAGCATCAAGACGGTCAGGGTTCCGAGGCTGCCAAGCCTGATAGCAAGGGTGCTGCCACTGCTGCTACCAATACTGCAGTGGCCAAGAAAATGGATCTAAGAGCCCGATATTGGGCCTTCTTGTTTGAGAATCTGCAGCGGGCAGTGGATGAGATCTATCAGACATGTGAAGCAGATGAGAGTATCGTAGAATGCAAGGTACTGTTTTACAGAATTGTATGTAGCCAAATTGGGAAAAGTGTGGTCTGGAAGACGAATATACATGGCAGTCCCTACTAAAAAAACCCCAGATTTTGGGAATTGTGGTTGTGTGCTGCATGGATCTTGAACATACTGTATCGTCGCATCAGTACAACAAACTCCCCTCTGCAACAAAGTTGTATCTCGTGCGAAGACGCTTTGTCCAGCAAGGTTGTATCTCATGTATCTTGGCATCCATTGACTCTGTGTCTTCATCCGAGTTATTTTAAGCGAGATACAACCTTTTGACATTGAAAACTCACGTTTCACGTACATGTACATGACGTCACACGCCATTTTAGGAGATACGACATTGTTGCACGGACACGACGATACATTATATATTTTTCTTGACAAAGTGGACATTGTATATTGATGTCACCTAACGTGATACACTTTGATTTTTTACCTCCAGCACCTTGCCAGAGCAAAAGTTTTACCTCAAATTTCACAGGAAGTGAAATTATGGCACGTTCTAAATATCCCTTGTGGATAAGACTCAAGTTTACCAACCCATTAGAAAGTTGCAAGAGAAAAGTGTAATAAATCGAAACATTTTTCCAATTCATCACATCATCAGATGTCAGGCCCGACATCTGTATATTTGGTGGGTCAATATCTTTCATTTCATTGGCTAATTTTGCAAGAAAAGAAAGAAAATGTCAATTCTTGTGAATCCTTTCAAGTAATCTTTTTAATTCATTCCTTTAGATGCTGTTCTTACCATACATGTAGGCCCTATGTGTTTATAGTATGTACGGTACCTGTATATGTTGGTACATATTTTAAAAACACATGATATTCACAATGATATTAACACAGTTTTACCGTGGAAGGTGTATGGTTTGTGATTTACAAAAGTTGAATACATTTCACGAAAGCTTCTGAATGCCATATTTAGTTTGCATTTCCATTTAATTCAGACTTTTACAGGTACAGTTAACACATGTATGTGTAACACAAAGGCCCTATCCGAATGACGTGGCTACGACTTGACATTACACACGAGTCTATGGCAAGTGGCTGCAGCCGCTACCATAGACACGTGTAGAAATTGAAGCCGTAGTTAAATCATTCGGACACAGCCTGACATGCACCACACATCTTATGACGTTCTTTCCAAATTTATGTCAAGACATGCGTTTTGGAAATCTTCATGGTATGGTTATTGTTTTAATTACCAATTAATCTAACACATGATATATAACACATGTATGCCAAATGAATAAGCTTTTTCGGAGTTCCAAATGCGCATTCCTAACCTGTGACAATGTGCATTGTTTGTCTCAAATGGCCTTTGACATCATCGCGCCACTGACTTTACAAAAAGGCTGTTTGTGCATTGTGGGTACTGTCAAAGGGCATTTGAGACAAACAATGTGCGTTGTCACAGGTTACGAATGCGCGCAGTTGGAACTCCGAAAAGGCTTATTTGGGCGATTCACAATGCAGTGCGCCATCAAGAGTTTGCCATGGAGAGTCCATTTTTCAAGTTTACGGTCGACAAAACATGGCCCATTTGAATGAGTGTCAGTAGACAACTTGAGCTGATATGTTGCAGATTGGGGCAAAGCGTTCTGCCGCCTTACAAAAAACACCATATTGATAAAAAGACAAGAAAAGGGCAAATGGATCCTCGAATCATACATGTACGCTTACAAAACTACTAACTGGAAAAATTTACAATTTCAAATGCCCCGCGCTGTGAATTTGTCGACAATCTCCTACAATGCACTGGGAAAAATGACCTCTCCGTGGCAAACTGTTGGTGGCGCACTACATTGTGAAACGCCCGAATTGCTCTACCACCATCTTGATGCAGTCATCTTTTTTTCTCCCCAGTTGCTCCCTTGCCTTATTCATACTATTCAACTGGTATTCTTATGAAGATAGAACATTTCATAAATATTTCAAATTATTTCAACATGGACCCTGTTGAGTTTCTGAATTTTCAATATTTTCATGCACTTTTTACGCACTGATCAATTTGATTTCTTCTATAAATTGGGATAGGCCTAGTTATAGGCCCATAATCAAAGAGTGAAGGTTTAACAGATTTGGCTTGGTTTACTCGTTCTGCATTTCTCTCTTTGAGAAATTATCTGCATAAATAGGTAAACAGGTTGTAGTTCAAACTTGTAACTAAGTTGCACTTGTGTCAAATTTCAGAATTAGTGAGTAAACTACATACTTTCAAATGGTAGACAGAATGACAGGTTATTCTATATGAATATACATGTATCAGAGGCCAGAGTTATATTAATTGACCTGGTTTTCTCAACAGGAAGTCATCATGATACTCAAGCGGGCCACCCATGACTTTGAATCTCTCATCAGACGTATCAATGTACAGAAAGACTTTGAGAAATGTGACATTGAGAATAGGTATGTCCACATGGCGTCTAAAGCTGTAGTGTTCTCACCGCCATGTTGCAGTGTCAGTATGATGTGTTACTCATGTTTAGGATACTAACAAACTGGTTTCCCATGTGACCCTTCAGTAACCACATGTTTCCCCACGTGACCCTGCAGTAACCATATGTTTTACCATGTGACTCTGCAGTATCTACTGCTACAGTGTATACAAAGCACTCTGATTGATTCTTGCTTTGTTCTCCAAATACATGTGGCACAGATGACTTCATTTGTGTTTTTAATTTTAACTGTTACTCTGTATACTTTTAAACAAAGAAATGTTCAGTATGCATGCGTGCCACTGCGATCTTGTTTTCAAATTTAGCTTGTAAGCAAACGCATGCATCTATGCTGCTCTGTCTCCACACAGATTCCACTCTTTGCCCTTACTTCTTCCTTCTGGGCAAGCGTACTTCTGGAATTTTTGCTGTAAAATCAGCCTATCGACTCTGTGCACAAACGGTAGCTGGTGCATGTAGATAGCCTCCTTGTTCTGTTGTTCATCTCCCCTGTGGAGGATTTAGGAGGTGTTTGACTGAGTACCAAACAACTTTTTATTAGCAAAAGTCTGTAGTGTCTTCATGCATGTCATGTGGCATGTGTGGCCGGGTGGTGATCCAGTGATGTAGATTTCTATTTGTCACTGTTCACAGAGTACTTGGTCACTTAGTCTATAGGGGTGTTTCCAAATAGGGCAAGCAGTGTAACAATCTTAGATGTAGTGTGGAGGTTTCAAAATACAGCCTAAATGTATACACCAAACTTTATGATACTGCCTGGTTGACAAGGGAAAGCTTACCAGAGACACATCAGCCTTGAAGGAATGGGTATGCTTGCACCTTTTTGTGAAAATGTTTTATACAAATCATAAGAAGAGATTTTACAGAAAAATAAGTTAATTTACTGGAAGGTTTCATTTTTTTTTTTTCAAATTGGTTGTTTATTGACTTCTATGTATTGAAAAAGAAGAATTGATGCCTTTTTCACTAATTTCTTTGCATGCACTGATTAAAAGTTTAATTTTGATTTGATTTGTTTTTAGTGGAACTCTATTACAAACACTGCGTTACCAAACAATTGGCTAAACCAAACATTGTTCTAGGCTTCCAAATTTTATGCACAAAATAAGGAATGACTCTGCATCTTTCGAAATTGCATCCATATCATCCATTTGAAAATGCTTCTCAGCTGCAATTGGATGTCAAAAAGCTTGTTTTATAGAATAGCCCTGAAAATCTCTTCGGCAGTTTTGGTAAACTGGTTCCCAACGCCCCACTATGAAGACAATAATAAGAAAAATAATAGAAGGGCACAGAACCAGTCTACAACTCTGGCTCCATGGTCTGATGGTAGCAACAAATGCACTGTTCATAAAAATGACAAGCAAATATCGATGATCTAAAATGATGATACATGTATCAGGGAGAACTTCACAAAACTTTATTCTCTCGTTTTGCATTTGTATTTTTCTCTTATATTTTTTTAATAAGGATTTAATGCTCAAGTATTCGAAAGAAGCACATTGTGATTTTCAGATAGGTTACCGCTGGTATAAAGCATCAATTCATAAACTTAAAATATTATATAACTTCAATTTTCCTTTGATGAGAGACATGCTTTCATTATTTCCCATCATTTGGAATGGAAAGTGCAGTGGAATGCCGCTGTAACGAACATCGCAGGATCTGCAGAAATAGTTCGTAATAGCGATCGTTTGGTATAGCGATTTTAACATGCCGGTGCTCCATTGTACTCACTTTTCAATAAATAGTGCCCACAACTTTGCCTTGCACGCCGGCCCAGGTAGTTACAGAAAGACGACTTCGAACACGTGCCCACTATTGAATTATGTAATTACACAGTTTTTGAGCTTACTACCTACAGCAATGGGTGGATTTCCCCTTCTATTCCTTTGGGAAATAATAGCCAGTTGTCACTCTTCTGTTGACATTTTAACAACAATGTTCGGTTCTGTACACAAAATCGGGAGCCAAGGACGATGTTCGGTATAGCCGAATGTTTGGTATAGCGGAATGTTCAGAATAGCAGTGTTCAGTATAGTGACGTTCCACTTAACATGTAAACGGTGCCATATTGGCAATTTATAGTGTAGTGCCAGTGGCTTAAAATTGGTATGCCCGACATTCTTTTTGTGGATCCTATCATGTTTGTTATAGTGATGTTCTACTGCATATCTTGCACACTCATTAAAAGTGTGCCAAAGTTAGACACTTGAGATTGATGTCTCACACAATTGTATTTGTTTTGCTTACAAATCTCGTTGCATAGTTTGCTGTGTTGTTTTTTAATTACTTTTTTGTTGTGTGTTGCGTTTTTGAATTAATACATTTTTTGAATTAAAATGAGCCAGTATGAGCTTTACACCCAAAGACTAATGACAAATTTTGCATGTGCACATGTGCTTATCTACATCTTGGTATGATTAGCTACATAAAGGAATCAAAGTTACATCAGAATCCAAGTCACTCACTAGGCCTCACATACCCATACAAAATATTCTTCCTTCCCCCAAAATTGTTGGACATGCTTTGATTCGCCAGGTGTCAGCTCATATTGGTATTGTTATTGGTTACTGTTACTGCTTTCACCCTTTCTCGTTTTCTCTCCCCTCTTCTTTGTTTTTTCTCTCAAAAAACTCTCTTCATCTTCTGCTGTTGATTGTGCGTTTTGCACCTACTGGCACTAACTGCAACTCTGAAATGACCACACAATGCACAGACCTACATCTATTGTGTGGGAGGTTCGGAAGTCATCCTCACCGGCTAAGCATAGAACACCCAGCTGGCCACCTGACAGTAGGGCAGCCAGGCCTCGCCGGTGGGTTACTTCATGTCCTTAACCCATACATGTGCAGTATGTGCAGTAAAAGGGCCTGCTGAAGCAGAAGGGCCAGTGTGTTACTGAGTCACTGACTATAAATAATGTGCTAAACTCCCAAACTTTCGGGTTCACTTGGTCACTGTTAAAAAGGACTACCTGTATCACCCTTGCGGCTTACGGTTGGTCATAGGTCAAGTAGGGCTAGCAGTTCAAGCCTGGCGCACACGAGAACTATCTGCTTTGCCAAAAGTCATTTGTGGCCAATGCGTAAACAGATAGCTCCCGTGTGCGGTCAGTTTTACCAAAGATTTTGGTCATTCGTGACGCTGCGCCAAATATCTAACGTGTTCGATAGTTCTAGTCACTCGTGCCCAAAGTCTTACCGTGTGTGGTGAATGAAAGCTATCTGCTTTTGGCTTGCGTGTTGAGCATATGCGTGCTTCTGTCATATGACGTGAAAAGGCAAAATGGCTGCGCCCAGTGGATTAGTGGCATCTGCAATCTTGGACGACTAAAACTGACCGCACAAGGGAGCTATCTGCTTACGCCATCGCCCACGAATGACTTTTGGCGATGCAGATGGCTCTCGTGTGCGCCAGGCTTAAGCGAAACAGGAATTCCGTTTCACCTCCAAGACATTCAGTGAACTCTTGCTTACATTCTGAGCATTTTTGTTTAGTATGCAATGTTCTCAAAAGAAAGTGTTCCTGGCATTTTGCTGCTCTTTAGTTGCCTTGCTACCTATCTAGGAAAGAAACCAGATATACAAAAGTTGAAACTGCTTAATAGTTGTTAAAAAAGATATTGTATAATTGACTGTAGTTGCGCTTCATTATATAGGCCATCAGCCTCGGTCCAAAATTTTGGCAACCGGTATCAAATGAGAAGAATAATCGTCATAGCGATTTTTGGCAAGGTATACACCTCCAGAGTTGGAAAATATGTGATAGCATTGCAGCGGTGGCAGCTTTTTAGGTGTTATCACCCTTTTTTTCAAAATGTCCATCAAAATGCTTGTTACCACTGTAGGGGCGGTATACCTTGCGCATGCGAACTATAATCATTTATGCCCTGATTTGATTCTGACCAAACCCCAGGCTGATGGCCTAATAGTATAGTCAAGTACATTACCAGTAAACTCACAAGAAAGACCCCCTCCCCAAAAAACAACATCTTAAACGGATGCATAATGACAATGGAGTGTGTAAACTTTCCTCTCATTTGAGTAGCTCATTTGATTGACTTGCGTTTTTTACAAGTACATGAAGTAACAATGCCGACAAAAGCATACTTGCTTGAAAGATCTTGCATATTTTCAAAAAAGTAAATTAACTTAAAATAGCGGCAGTAAATAATGGTATTGTCCACATTCAGTGGACAAAACATAATTTTCACCGAACAAACCACAACAACAACAACTTAAGTGAAAAAGATGGCATTGATTGCTTAATTAATTTTGTTGGTTATTGTGTATCAGAAATATTTTGCAAAGCACTTGAGCAATAGTACTTGAGAATTGTCTGGCAATGTGATCACTTTTGTGTCTTTTCCCCATAGGCCTAATTCTTTGGCTTGGGAGGTCCGTAAGACTTCCCCTGGGCGGAGTCTTATCAACAGCCCCACCCCAGAAGGCCGGGACACTCCAAGTCCTGTCAATCGTAGTCTGAATTTTAGTGGGCAGGAGGCTACCAAAAACAGAAGCAGGTAAGTCTGAAACCTCCAGATGATGCCATCCTCTGGTTTATTGGAGAGATTGTTTATTCAATCATGTGGTTTTATCATCAACAGTGTTGTATTGAAATAAGGATCATGTATATCAAGTTGCTGTACTAAAAGTCACATTATTTATCTTCTTTGTCTCGACATTAGAAATGCATGCATAATTTTTAAGAGATTCTTTGAAGTTGTGTAGACATTGACCAAGTACATGTATATGTTCAATTTAAATAGAGAAATGGTATCTAAGGCTTTCTTTGTGTGTAGTGGAAATTTGAACCGTGCCATTTTGAACAAAATGTTCATAGGAAAGTTATGTTGAGCAAAATCAGGATGTCAACCAAATTTGTTTTATGACATAGATTATTTGGTCAGTACCTTCCGCAATTGCTTCTTGTATAAATTTTGCATACCTAGCATCTAGTGTAAAAAAAATAAAATAAAAGGAGTTGTTTACGTCATACTAACGAGCTGGACACAGCATTTTATAGCTAGAGTGGTGTTTCGAAAAGCAGAAAGTAAAATTTTCCAATGAAATAGTTGGAAATTGTTAATTTTTGACTTGTTTTGAATTTTGGACTGAAAAGGTATTTATGAATGGGAATAAATACGTACTTGGTTGGTGTTAAACACTACATGTATGTTTAAGACTGGTTGGAGTCTGGAATGCTGATAATTACCCGAGCCAAATGGCTCGGGTAATTATCAGCATTCCAGACTCCAACCAGTCTTAAACATACATGTAGTGTTTAACACCTCCCAAGCACACATTTATTCCCTTATTAAAAGCTTGTATTTACTTCTAGGAAGGCAAATTCTTTTAAATAGGTTTTTTTGACGGTGTATCGTTAAACCAAATACTGCACAGCATTACCATTCAGCTTTTGATGTCAGTTTTTATTCCTCCACTGCAGAGTCTATTGTAGCACAAACACTTTCTAATGCTCTTGCTGTTCTGTTCACAATGATTTTGATTTCTGTTTCTCAGAGTCTAATTTGTTATCCATCTTGAACTCTTGCAGTCCTGTGCCCTTAGTGACAGAAGTAGCAGAAACTGCTGTGGTGGCCAGCTGGGCTGATAGGGTCAAAGGTCACACCGTCAAACCCATCGCTAGGGTACCAGGAGTGAAACCATCAGATGTTAAACTTGGAGACAAGAAAGGACAGGAGAAGGGAAGGAAGCAAATTGGCATGCGTGATACTCAGATGGTGAATGGGAAGCTCGCCCCAGCCGAAGGTATGTGCACAGGGTGTCCCACAAAAAAATGTCCCTCTTGATGAGGGTGTACAGAATTCTCGTAATTTATGAAAAAAAGGCAAATTCAATTATAGAATTGATGAGCCCAAACATTCTTCTGTCTTGTGTGAATTTTTTGTTGGATTTGGTTCAGTGGTTCTGAAACAAATGCCATTAAAGTGACACTAGTCCATTCTGCTCCATTCAGAGTTTGATGATACAGGGGTTCCCCCCCCCCCAAAAAAAAATGTCTCTCTCAGGCTTGTAGTAGAATTTGAAAAAAAAATTAAGTATTATTTCTACTTTTCTTACAGAATTGTGAAGCATATTTATCAACTCTTTTCTGTAAAATGTCCGTCGGATTTGGTTCACCGGTTTTCCAAATAAAGGCAATTAAGTAACACGGTACTATTTTGCACCATTCAAAGTTTAACATTTAGCTTAAATTGGCTTTTTGATTAGATTACTAAACTAAACAGGAGGAATGCTATTGTTGACATTTCTCATTGTTGACTGTGGCTTTTTGTTATACTATCTTCTTTAATTATAACAAAGGAGTGTCTCAAACACCTGTTACATTGTATAACAGTTCAAAGTGATTCAGGACATTCAGGCAGTAGGCGGGCCTGAGACAACAGAAACACATTGTGTATACTCTCAATGTATGTATTGTCAAACTTGGAATAGAGCAAAATGGAGTAGTGTTACATTAATGGCCTTTGTTTCAAAACCACTGAACCAAATCCAACAAAAACTTCACACAAGAAAGAAAAATGTTTGGGCTCATCAATTCTATAATTGAATTTGAATTTGTTTTCATAAATTACGAGAGTTCTGTACACCTTCCAGAGAGACATTTTTTGGGGACATCCTGTTTGTGAGCTATAACACTCGTAACCAGTCTTTCTGGGTGCTGTGCGTGATTTATGATACATACATGTAAGTTAATGTGGATATTTGAATAGAATCAGTCGGGATGATTTGGAGATTTTCAAGCAATCTCATCGGCTTTTTTTGTGAAGGCACTCTGAATTATATATTCAGCCTGGACGAGTGGTCACACCCAATTAATCCCAGATATACATGTACACTGAAAGCAATAAGACAAATACAGTAAACACCGGCTAAACCGACATCCTACAAATGGCTCAAGTCGGCTGTCTGACTAAAGTCCCGATTGTCCGTAATGCATTTCCATTCCATTTTTTCTATTTCTAAGTCGGCTTATATAAGTCGCCATTTCGCTCAAGTCATCGTGTTACTCTCGGTCCCCTTTCCATAAAAAGCATCACAAAATCCTTTGTGTAAGTCGTCGTTCAAAAAAATCACGCATTGGCATTGACTTCCTACTGCAGTTGGCATGAAGTGCTGAGTGAAAAGTGTTTTGGCACGGCCCACGATCGCTTGCATGCATTGGTGTCGCAAAAAGGTGTCCTACTGCATACATCGCATAGGCATCTTGAGCATATCAATACCAGTACCCCCTCTAGGCTGTACGCATGCGCTCTGTCCATTTGGGGGGTCGTCTTATTGAATGACTAGTGCTGCAGTCAATGCGTGCGTGGTATACGTACTGGAATATACAGTATCGAACCACGCACCCATTTAATTCGTTACTGTGCACAGACATATGTCCGATATATACACGTGGTCTCCACTATCAATACCCAAAACGTGGTGATAAATTCTACAATTAATTTGCTGTATTCAACTCAAGCATTTAGGAGATAATCCAGGGTAAATCGAAGCCAATTAGTGCAATGACTCATATGTGCTAAAGGCCATTTATGCATGTTATGTAAGCCGGCAAAATGACGACTAACAGCAGATGTCAGCATTCGCGTAAGTCGTCATAAATTCTCGGGTCCCGAGTGTGCCGACTTAGCCGGAGTTTACTGTACATCGAACAAAAACAATTCCAAGTGCATATTAACGTACGGTAACCAGTTCACGTCCGATGACGGATAAACATGCAACAAGCGAGGCCGGAAATGTCTGTCAGCGACAGGCTTGCAGCGAGCAAGGTCGAAAATATCAGGGTGTGCTACCCACAGATGACGGCCTGAACCCGTCTGGCATCGAAGCTTGTAAAAAACAATCCCGTGCCTGGGTCTGGTCAATGTCAAAATAATCCTGGTGCAAACTGGCGTAAGTAAAAGTTATGAAGTATTTGACACAACATGATTAGATGTCTTAGGTTTGCTGATATTTTGTAAACAGATGATGGAGAAGGCTGGGAGACGGTGCAGCGGAGTAAACCCAACCGCTCCAGACCGTCCTCAGCTAAGAGCAGGTCTCATCATAGCAGCACCAGCAGTAACCACTCAGTCAAGTCTCAATCTGGTATCAATCCCGCGCCTGATAGCAGCAAGAATCCTCAGCAGACTAGCACTGGTCAGAAGGATGCCAAGCAGGAGCGATCTCGCTGCAGGACTGACAGTGAGAAGGAGAACAGACCGCTAGAGAGTCATCTGGTCAATCGAGAGCAGCCCAACACCAATCAGAAGATTCAAGGGGAAAGGTCAGAAAAGTCCAATACTGAACGTCGGATGGACAAGAATGAGAAGATCTCTAATTGCCCTATAGACACCCAGAAATCAGATGAGGCTAACATTCAGGATTTGGATCCAGCTATTGTTGCAGTTTGTGCAGGTAAGTTTTTAAGTATAGGGTGAGTAGAAAAAAAAGGAAACCCAAATGTCGGGACTATTGTTTTGGTGAAGTTCTGCATGTAGCACTTCAAAATCTAGGATATGAAAGTTCAATTCATAAGCTTTCTTTTAGTGCAAGAATCATTCAAATCATTCAAGTTACGGGTTTTAAACACAACAACCGTTTTAAAGTTCTGTCCATTGATCACACAAAAGTTGTGCATTCCTTTAGCAAAACGAAAACAATTCACATAGGAAATTGATTCTTGTACTAAAAGAAAGCTTATGAACTGGGCTTTCATATCCTAGAGTTTGAAAGTGCTACATGCAGAACTTCACTAAAACAATGATCCCCACATTTGGGTTTCGTATTTTTTTTACTCACCCTGTACATGTATAAGACATTTCTTTCATAAAAGATTGTGAAAATCTCCCAAATGATAGTTTCATCACAAACTGTTTATATAATGAAACGATTTATATTGTGTTCCTGCATTTGCTTTATACAGGAATGAGTGGTTACCTACTGCCATCCAGTGATCAAGTAGAGAGTAACAAAGATAACACTGAGGACAAATTGGCTGCTAAACTGGATAAGGTAAGGCATGACTTGTGTCAATAACAAGCACAGATTGAGAGTGTCTGGAGTATCTTTAATATAAATAAAGCACCTCTAGGGTTAAGTTGATTGTCTATTCATAAATACCTAAGACAGTTTACCCATTCCTATTGGTCGAGAGCCCGTCACGTGGCCGGTCTTAAACGGATGATAAAGACATGGCTGGCTGGTCTGTAACACTTTTGAAGTGTTTATGAAATTTGGACTCTATGAAATCCAGTGCCTTTTACCGTTTTATTGGTTGAACGTTCACAATCCTCACATACATGTAGGCCTGCGCAATACTACCAGTGAGTCAGTATTTCATAGTCCTAAATTCAGACTGCACCGGTGCATCTGCGTTGTGTGCCACAACACACAGTACGCACAAATTGTTTGTTTACTAGAGGGCCTTGCCATTGTATAGCTAAAAGGGTTGTTTTCTTGATCAAAATCATTGACAATATGTGATGCGATCAAGCTAAATGAGTCGTTTGTTGGGAATTTTTATTTGAAAATACAGGCCAAAATAGGGCCACTTCATCACGTCACTTCATTACATCTCTTGGTGTTCCAACTTCCATGATTTTTGAACTCACGGTAAGGATGGTATCAGCGTGCAGTTTTCACAGCAATAATGCTGAGATTGTGCTCTTGTCAAATTTGTAAAAAAAAATTTTTTGTCCAGAGTCGACAAACGATGTAGCTTGATCGCATCACATATATAATTTTTGACTTGTTTCAACTTTTGAACAGAAAAAGTCTGGATGCTGATAATTACCTCGCCTTTGGCTCGGGTAATTATCAGCATCCAACTGGTCTTAAACTGAGTGGTTAACACCTCCCAAGCACACATTTATTTAGCATCTTTGTAGAAGAGAAATGTTTCACATGGACGCAATCATCAGAGATGAAACTTTTTCAGATTTTAATCTGAAATCAGATTTTTTTACTTTTCCACTGAAATTTTAGATTTTTTAAAAATCCCACAAAAATGATTAGGCCAAAAAAAAAAAGTCTCCGGTTTCTGGTATGGAGCTTGTCCAAAAAGTGGTGCGGCGACGCGGCTTTTTTTTTTTTTACCTGACATTTTTGCTTCAAATGTCGGCTGATGACTGCAAATGGTGCCCGACTAAACTTAGTGCAAATATATGAGAGTCCAGGGAGGCCACATAAAGCTTATTCTCGATCATAACCCCATAAAATAAACACGTTGAAATTGCACAGCAGCAGAATTCCAGTCAAACCAGTGAGTTTGGCGGTTTTGAGACATCATCTTTCATTGAAAAAAAAACGTTTTCATTTTGCCGACGCGCATGGCTACGGCGACGCGCGCGCATACCAGAAACCGGAGACTTTTTTTTTTTGGCCTTATCTAACAATTTTTCCACATTTTTTTTGTTTTTTCATTATAATTTCCAAAAAAATCCATGAAAAGTCAATGAAAACGGCACGTAAAATTTTCACAAGTGTAGTATTTTAAATTTTTTTTACCACCTGTGAACGGAGTGATTCTAGGGTAGAAACCCACCTAGGCCAACGTTGATCAGATCCTTTTCCGGCTGGAGAAAAGGTTAAATACTGACCTATGACATGGAAAAATTCACTGGGTCCCACGTTGATGCGCTGCGTTACTCTGCACTGTGCGACGCTTTGGCAGCTCGGACCCAAGGTCCAATTTCAGATTTTTTTGCCTAGGCCAGTTTCATCTCTGAATCATGAGTATAGGGAGCATCTTTGGAATGAGATGGAGAGTATTCTAAGATTTGAGATTCTCTGTGTAGTGAGGTGGATGTAGGTATTCATGCTATTGGATTCTTTCTGCAACCCATTCCTCCCCAGGATGTCAGTGTTGCCATTGATGAAGAGGAAACACTGACGAATGAGATTGAAAAGTGTCAGGATGAGGCCTTGGCATCGGCCATTGCCGAGGAAGAGAAACTAACCAAGGAAATTGAAGAGGAGGAGAGCAAAGAGATCATTGTGGAGACAGACGAAGGAGAAAGTGATCTTGCTCTCAGCACGGTGAGAAAAGAAAACAAACAAATACAGGCTATCGTCCTTTTTGAATCCCTGCAGCTGATTTCACGAAACTTTACGCAATGGCGTAACTCCGCTTGCGCCACAATATATTGCGTAAGCCGCGCAACATTTCATGCTGCGCAACATTTCACTTATGACACATTTCACGAAAGTCTGATGGTGCGTAAGTCTGCGACTTGCGCAGTAAATTATTTGCGCAATCATTTTAGGTGGCGTAAGTTGTGGCGAAGCGACTTAAAATGACCTATTTTACCAGCAAATCGTGATTATCGTGGAGCCTCAAGGTTGAAACAAGACACTCACAGCTTCTTGTTTGAAGTTAAAGAGTTTTTATTTTACTAGTGATAGAATTTTTAGAGTTGCCGCATGATTCCGAAGAAAGTCGGACAAAATAATTTTCAAAATGGCGGGCTGAGGTGATTCAACGACTTTTTTCATGAACGAGCAAATTCACACACAAACAGCCATCATAAATGCTGTTATCATCCTCATCCAAGATGTTTAGATTATTTAAAACATTGTGCAGCTACGCCAAGTTTCGTGAAATCGAGCGTAAGTTGAGGGCGCAGCTGCGCAACAAATTTGTTGCGTAAGTCTTACGCATGGCGCAAGCTACGCACTTTTTCGTGGAATTAGCTGCTGTTCTTTAGCTAAATAGCTTCAGGACTGGTATATGAAAAGAGAATTTCAACATATGTCGCATATTAACATTTTCATTGTAGACTTTGGTTGAGTTTTTGGCCCAGTTTTCAACAAGGTATAAGCTTATGTTAGGTAAAAGTACTTGTGCCTAGGACCTCCGTGTAGAATAAAAACGGGGCACCTTGTGGCATGTGTTGTGATACATAAAGGACCCAGATTTACAAATTAAATTAAAGGTTACATGCAGACCAACAGAACAAACAAGAAATATCTTTGTTATCACATATTTTCCTGCCACCTATTATACTGCTAATGTGTAAGGACACAATACTGGCAACTAACAGTGGGACATTAGAGATCTGAAGCAAGATAAAAGCTGTGCAATGTTAGTTTTCTCTTAAATTGTTGGGAGAAACATCCATTTATTCAGTGGAAAACAACATTGAAAAGATAAGCTAAATATTTGTCACTGCAAGGCAGATTATAATGGTATTTTGGACAGTTAACGTTAGTTACATGGTGGCCACTCTCCACTTGTGCATTCTTCAGCAAGTATCAAACAGGGCAACTGTGGGCTTCTTGTAGTCTTGTCAAGGTATCTTTTTCTTATTAAAATCAAATTGCGGAAAAAAAAGTTGAGAAGAAGTAGGTTTATCAGTGGACACCATAACTAACGTTAAGTGGACGCCGTATCTAACATTAAACTGGTGTGCTGTGATGTTTATAAGAGTAAAAAATAGCAACAAAGGCATTTGGCAATAGAAACATGGAAATTAAGTGTTCTTGTCAAGTAATCTTATTGATATTATCAAGCTGCCGGCAGTTTTTGAGAAAATTAGATTAAGTTTAAAGGTATAGTCCATCATTTGTAATTTGTGCATTTTGTTCGTTTGAAGCAACAAAAGTGCTCAAGATCTAAAGAAGGGTATTGAACAACTAACCTGATGAAGTTTCAGCTCAGCTTCAGCTGTATATTTTGAGAAAAACAACATTCTAGGATCTCGATTTCAAATCAAAAGTTGTGAATCATGTTTTGAATTGGGCCTGAATTCAGTGCCCGATACACGTTCTCACTGAGCTGATTGCAGCTACGCGATGTAGCGCACTGATCCAACGAATTACAGCAATCGCGCACGGGTGTGCGTCGTGCCAATGCTTGCGCCTGCTTCGCCGAATAACAAAACGGAACTACTAATTTGAATTTTTACAGTGCTTCTTAAGTGGCACCGTTGGAAAGGCCTTCTTTCGTTGATTTCTTCAAAATGACAGCTTGCCAGAAAGAATAGGCTTAATTTCTCAGGGAGTTTAGTCCCCTTACTATCTTTCAACCAAGTATGTTTTTCAACAATAATTACGCCAGTTACTTTTTGGATAGCTGCAAATGATGGACTCTGGCTTTAACACCCTTCATTGGATGCTGTTATAATATTTACTTGGAGTTTCATTGTCTTTTTTTCCCTGTTGACAGAACACTCTGAGCTCACTGGACAGCTCACAGCAGACCCTGGACTGGAATGAAATGGTGTTAGATTTTGAGGAGCGACAAGGCCAGCAGTCACCAATCAGCTGGGGTGAGATGGTGGAGATCAGTGAGATTGAAGGCAGGCCACCGGGCTATGCACTGCATATGCATGAAAAACTCTCATCTCCATCCAGGAAAAGGTAACAATCCAAAGCTTATATCTCAAGTCAAACTGCCTTCATTTTGTAAAAACGGCCATTTTCTGCAGTGGCACCAGGGTGGTGGGAGTCGCATCAGGTAGTACGCACTCTGGGCTGCTTTGACCTACAGGGTTCCCAAGATGCGCCCGCGCCCCGTCTTTAAGAACATGTGCGGCATGCGCATGAGCGTAGCATCACCGCAAAATAGCTTCTGGTTTTGTTTGGGGAATTCCAGTATTTATTCTTTACACTACTCCCATCTTTGTTGTATGCGCTTTTGTTACGCAGGGATATGCATGAGTAGACTTCTTATGCATTCAATTTAACAGAATTTAAAAGAAAAGAAAATAGCCTCCAAATACCAAGTGTGAATTATTGTTGTTGAACACAAAGCTTTAACATTTTGTAAACTAATAAAGTGGAAATTATGGATTATGTGAGCCGGAAACTTTTTTCATTTTTGACAAAAAATAGTACAGTGAATTTTTGTATTGTTTTGGGAATAAAAAGTGCTCATGAGTGATAACTGCTCAAAGCACAGCGATCTGTGTTTTGATAAGGGAATAACAGTGTGAGGAGCCGGTCTTCACTGCGTGATAATGACCGGGTGTGGGGGTGACCGCTGTTAATGGACCGAGACGAATATATTTTAGCTTAACAGTTATAACGACGTAAACTCAACAGAAACTGCTGCCGTAGCGAAACAAATTACAACAATGTTTTCATATCTTTACCTGATGGGGGAAGCTGAAATCTTGTTTACACATTCCTTGTGTCCGGAATTACAAAGATGCTTGGTTTAGGAAAGGTAAATTTGTCGGTGGGTGAAGTGTTCAAAGAAAATAAATCGTAGATCTACGCTTTCGTCATAAACAACCTCAGTATATACTGCACTGCTGTACGATGTCGTTTCAAAACTTCCTTACGCGCGCACACGCACGCATCCCTAGCAACTGTGTTGCGTACGTGCGCGTCAGTCTCACGTGATGGGGGTTGAGCGCATGTGCAGTGCTCTATTGTTACAAGCTACCGCAGGACTGTTACTATATTTTGACCAATCATTGGCTTGCATGGGGCTGAACGGGGCTGGATCAATGCTGGTTCAGGGGCCATTTATTCGCTTGATCTTTGAAGCTGGTCCATTATCGCCGTTAATGCCCGGCCACGTGATCGAGTCTCGACCAATCAGAAACCATCAACTCTCCAAGGTATTTATTAATGATAATTAAAACACAAAATAATTTTGATGTGACACCTTTTGTTGAAGAACTTACATGTATGGCAGTATCAAGCATTTACCTTAATGGCAATCCAGATATTGTTCAGTCCATTTTATCTTTGTGCTCATGCAGAACAAGAGCCGAGGCCCAGAAGCGCCATGAAGAGAGACAAGCAAAGGCCCAACAGAAACGAGTCTTACTCCTGGATGAAAAGGCTATCAAGCTCAAGATGCTTCATGAGAAGGTACCAAAATACAGCTGATCAAGCAGACTTGAAGTCACGTAAAGCTGACTGAATAGATCTGTGCTGGCCTATGCTGAATGAACCAAGCCCGAATCGAACCGAACCGAACCGAACCGAACCGAATCGAACCGAACCGAACCGAACCGAACCGAAATTGGCTCGGAAGTCCGGCAAGTTTTTGTTGATAGCGCTAGGAATGCTAATGCTTGCAACGAACCGAATCGAACCGAACCGAACCGAAATTGGCTCGGAAGTCCGGCAAGTTTTTGTTGATAGCGCTAGGAATGCTAATGCTTGCAATGAAAGGGCAACATTCAAGCGCACGGATGATTGAATTTACCGTGTTGACAAGTCACCGCATTCATCTTCATTATTTGCAGTGTTCTAGCCAGGCATGCAATAGGATATCGGGCTGATACGCTTTGAAAAAATCGTACGCACCTGCAGTTCTCTCAATGAAAAGCACGTGCTCTTTGCATGCTGTGTAGTATGCTTTGCATGCTGTGTTCCAGCGTGACATAGTACGTTTGGACCAAACCATTTGAAGGGTCTGCTTTCCTCAGCACAATTTATCAGCAGTTTCACTGTGTCAAAATTACAAATAATACTTTTATTGAGTCTGAAACCTATCCCTTGTTCAGAATGAGTTCTTAATCGTCGCAATGTAATATTTTCCGGAAAGAATTTATACGAAAAATGATGTAGTCTCCCAAAAGAGGGTGGAGCACGCCTTTACAAAATTGATGGATCCGTCCACAGAATGAGAATTTGATGAAAGTCGCGAATCGAAAACTATTTCTGTCAGACGTGCGCGGTACACACGTATTTGTTCGAACCTGCAAACGGCCTATGAGAATATGCTTTTCATTGCAGGCCTATACATTGCACCATGGACGTGTACATTATGTATGCACAACCGAACCGAACGGATGCTCGGAGAAAAAAAATTGAACGGCAACCGAAGCACTATTTTGAGCAAAGCTGGCAGCTAGCTAGGATGTTTCACCTGTCCTTTTTTTTACTCAACCCAACAGAAGGAGTTCCAAGCATAGTAGAATGGAACAAATAGGTAGAATCAACATTTCCTACCACACAGTACCTGTATATTATGATGTCCAGCTGGATAACTGATCAACCTGAAGAAAAGAGTGTATTCTTTATATAACTTTATACTGCATATGAAAGCAACAAACTTATCAGTGCAAAAATGTATGTAAAGCTAGGGGCCGGGGAAATCCCCCCCCCCCTCGACTTTTGTTCGCGACCCGAGCTGTTCTGACTTGCACATCTTTTGATACCAAAATTATAAAAAGTTGGACCACGGGTTTCCGTGCAGCGAAAAATTTTCCAGCGCGTAGTTAAAGCTGAATTTCCCCACATATGTAGTGTACACAGGGCAGAATTACCATTCGTGTATATGAATAATTAATAAGCCATAACTCCAAAACCCCTTTGACCTGTAGTCATGAAATTTCTTGTTTATGTTCATGATAAGTTGTTCTATGCATGTACCAAGTTTAAAAATGTTTCGTCACTCGATGGCCGAAATCCTCGGGTCTGAATCCCCCCCCCCCCCACCACCACAGCTGAGAGATGGTCAAAATAATCCGGCCTTTTTAGGGTTTAAGAGTCATTTTGTAAGGTGCTGTCATATTTGACATGCCATTACGTTCTTAAAAAGCTTCAGTCTGAAATCTGCAGCTAATTCTGTGTTGACTGTCGTTTGGGTGTGGTTGACTACTGTAGATCCAGGAAGTCAGGGAATGGAAGGAGGAATTACTCATGTTGAAGAAGAAGGAGATGGAGGAGAAACAGCAACGAGCAGAGCAGAAGAGACACATGCAGCTGGAAGCAGTCAGAAGGAAAGCACAGGAAGAGGAACAGAAGGTCAGACAAGCAAGTCAACAAGGGCAGTATTAAGCATGATAAAACACCGGCTGGCTGGTTTAAAGCACTTTTCTAGTGTCACATGAAATTTTGACTCCTATATAAAACCTGGTCCCTTTTACCCTTTTATTGGTTGATAAACGTTCACAATCCTCACTTAGGCATGTACAATACTACAAGTATTTCATAGTCCTAAATTCACACTACACCGGCTCATCAGCCGCGTTCTGCACCACATCGTGCAGTACGCGCCATGCATGGCAATCTCCATATAAGGAGTTGTTTACAGCTACTCGTGAGAGGCACATACCGTAACATAGCTAGAGGGGTGTTTAAATAAACATGAAGTAAAATTGTGGAACAAAATCTTAGAAAATTTAAATTTTTTTACTCGTTTTGACCGTTTGACCGAAAAGGTATTTATGAATTGGCATAAATATGTGCTTGTCCGGTATTTAACTTCTACTTCTACTTCTACTTCTACATTGATACTTGGCAAAGTCCCCACATCGGAATATCACACCAAGGTTGCGTGTAAGACCGATGAATATCTAAGGTAGACTGAGGGTGGTTTTGAATTGGGAAAATGGAGAGCAGGTAACTGATGCAGGGAGGTTGTTCCAAGTAGGTATTGTTCTTGGAAACAAGGAGTATTTGTAGACGTTGGTGCGAGTAGATATGTGGCAATACTTAAACTGATGATAACCGCGTGTTCCTGGGGCTGCTGGAGTTAAAAAGTCATGTCGGCTGAGAGATGGTAGATGGTTGTGAGAGATCCGGTACATTGATGATAGTCGGGCGTTTCTTCGACGGGTTTGCTGTGACTCCCGTTTCAGTTCCTTCATCATAGAAGACACGCTTTCAGTCGGATGATATTTGTTGAGAACATACCTTGCAGCTCGTCTTTGTATGGCTTTTATTTTGTTGATGTTGGTTTTTGTATACGGGTCCCATATACAACTGCAGCATCCAGACGCGGACGTACTAAGGCAGTGTATGCGCGTTCCTTAAACAACATGTTTGAGACCGATTTGAAATCTGGACACAGATTGTCAGAGCCCAGACTGCAAACCAGCCTTAAACATAGTGTTTAAAACCAGCCAAGCATATATTTATTCCCTTGTTTGTTAAATGTAAATAATATTGAACCAATTGGGCTTAATGACAACACATCTGATTTGTTTTGTTTGTTGTAGCAGCCTGATACCAGTACTGGTTCAAACAATTTACTAAAAGTAAAAATATAAAGAAGGTCTCAAAGGGTAAACATTTGCAGCTTGAGGACATGTCTCATTGTGATCCAGAAAGTCCCAGGTGTTTCACTGTGACCAGTGTTACATGGTGTGTTCACTTGGCAGGCCAATGAGATTGCATTCATCAATAGCCTGGAGGCGCAGAATAAGAAGCATGACATCCTTGCACGTCACCAGGGCCATGAGGCACGTCTACAGGACCTGATGGAGGAGAGACAAAGGAAGCATGTGGAGAAGGCAGCCAAAGAAGAAGCAGTCCAGGTACACAAATCTAACCAAGCATTATACAATTGTTGCCTGCTGTGGCAGGGTCCATGGTGCTTTGTACACCCGAGGGGGCAAATGACACCCGAGGCGAAACCCATGGACCCGTCACAGCAGGCAACAATTGTTTTGTTATCTCACGTCATCGGCAATAAGTTCGAACGTCTCTCCCAATGTTCTCCCCCAACTCTCCCTTTCTTACCGTTGAGGGGGTACTATACAGAACGGCATAATTCCAATACCTTGAGACTCAAACCACCGTACCAATTGATGGAGAATGGTTTTGGAAGAAAATATGATAACAAGATCTCCCGATTTGGTTGGTAGTTTTTGCTGCAGAGCCTATTTGTGAAGCACACATCTTTCATGTGGGTATTACTTCATATTATATAACACCCAAGTAAATCCTTGTCATTTGATTGGAGGATTGTAGGTTAAGAGGCATTCATTAATCGAACCATTGCACTGCCTATGTCATAACCGTGCACTTTTGGTTCCATTCACCGTGCATTTTCTTCCCACTTCTGATATCTATGGTCCCATCCCTTTTGATCTATTGCACGCCGCGCGCACGCTACGATGCGCAGCAGCCCAGCGCTATATGATATTTGTGCTAGTTAGACCATATCATGCATTATAGCAGAACAAAATTGCCTTCAAAGCTAATTTTTCTGCTATAGTAAGCACAACTTTCCTTCCAACTGTTAAGCAGCACCATGAAATTGGGCCCTGTTCGTCCTCAGCGTAAAAGCGAATGAAAATGTGGGACATCACATTTCAACTTGGGTGAATTTTGCAGCAACAATTCGTGACGTTTGATTTGCTTTGAATTCACATTCACGTGAAGTATGAACTAGTCCTTAGGCTGCAGTGTGTTTGGACTATATGTAGCATATTGCCTGGCTTTGGTTGACAGGAGAGGAGGAAAGCTCTGGAGGTGGAGAGGATGGCTCGTCTTAAGGACATGCAGAGACATCGGCAGGACCAATCAGATAAGCTCAATGTACTCAAGGAGCAGAGGGAGAGAGCTAGGGAGTCTGCAGTCAAGGAACGGGCCAAGTAAGGACTAGTGTCTCACATCATACATACATAATGGCAGACTTCACATCGATTACAGATTTATCATGATGTTTGGAATTAATCCAACTTGAATATGATAGCATCACTCTACATCTGTGTACACATGCATGTCATACAGTAAGTAGCAGACAATATTAGTCCATATTCAGAAATGCCTGTGACAGTTTACCCATTCCTATTGGTCGAGAGCCCGTCACGTGGCCGGTCTTAAACAGTTGATAAAGACAGGCTGGCTGGTCTTTAAAGCTACAGTCCATCATTTGTAATTTGTGCATTTTGTTCGTTTGAAGCAACAAAAGAGTTCAAAATCTAATGAAGGATACTGAGCAACTAACCTGATGAAGTTTCAGCTAAGCTTCAGCTGTACATTCCGAGAAAAACAGCATTCTAAGATCTCAATTTCAAATCAAAAGTTACTTTTTTGAATTGTTTTGAATTGTTTTGAATTGCAGCTATACGCGACGTCGCGCACTGATCCGACGAATTACAACAACCGCGCGCGCGTGTGCGTCGTTCCAATACTTGTGCGCGCTGCGCTGAATAACAAAACGAACTACTAATTTAAATTTTCCTACGGTGCTTCTTAAGAATCACCTTTGGAAATGCCTTCTTTCGTTGATTACTTCAAAATGACAGCTTCCCAGAAAGAATACTTTCACAGGGAGTTTAGTCCACTTACTATCTTTCAACCAAGTTTGTTTTTCAACAATAATTACGCCAGTTACTTTTCGGATGGCTGCAAATGATGGACTATAGCTTTAACACTGCTCCAGTGTCACATGAAATTTGGACTCCTATGAAATCCGAGGCCAGCACCATTTTATTGGTAGAACGTTTATAATCCTTACGTAGGCATGCGCAATACTACCAGTGAGTCAGTATTTCATCTATAGTCCTAAATTCACACTACACCGGTGCATCTGTGTCGTGCGCCACATCACGCTGTACGCGCAACGCACAGGTCGATCTCCATATATATTCATTTATGAATGTTTTTATTCCTGATTGTAGAGAGCGAGAGCAGAGACTATCTGCACTGAATGCAGCCCAACAAGCTAAGGAAGAAGAAATACAGAAAAAGATACAGCAAAAGGTTGGCATATGCTCTGGAAGTATGACACTGAAATTTGAATGTCTTGCAAGTGAAAAATGTGTGTATGATGCATATCTTTGCTTGCTTCTTTTGAAGAAGTTGCCCCTTAGGTGATACAGTAGCGGATCTGGGGTGGGGGGGGGGGGGGGTTGCAACCCCCTTTGTTCAGCTGCAGACTAATATTATGACACTAGTAAAATAGGGCTAAACATAATCAGTGGAATGCTAAAGTCACTAAATATATTCGTCAATTGCCAGGGATTTCAAAATGTTGAAGGGCATGCCCCCATGCCCCAGACCCCTTAGCGGGGCGTGCCTCAACCCCCCTTATATATCAACCCTCCTGTCTCCTGAAAGCTAGATCCGCCCCTGTGATAAGAGCAGTGTTTCCACCATCGAGCACAGCCTATCGAGTGCACACCTTACACAGTTTTCAACACAATGCAGCTCAGTTGTTCACATGACCACTTCAAATAAAATGCTCAGGGTATCGGTACTTGCCTTTTGGGATCTATGATCATACCTGAAAGATCCATCCTTTACTCCAGGACAACTTATACAATTTTATCCTGATTAAAGGTAGAGTATATCATTTGTCATTTGTGCATTTTTTTGGTTTGAAGCCACAAAAGTGCTCAAAATCTAAGGAAGAGTGCTTAACAACTAACCTGAGGAAATTTTGGCTCCTTGAATGCTGCACATTCTGAAAAAAAAACACTATTCTAAGATCTCGGTTTCAACTCAAAAAATGCAATGTTTGACTTTTGAAAGTTGCAAGTGTCATGTTTTGAATTGCGCCCAAAATAAGCGTCCGGGACATGTTCTCATTTAGCCAATTGCAGCTACGCGATGCACTACATTGACTAATTAGAGCAAGCGCCCTCGCTTGTGCATCGCTTCAATGCTTGCCAGCACCCATACACAGATTCACCGAATTACAAACCAACTGCTAACTGAAATTTCCAAAAATGCTCACTAGATGCATCTTGCCTTCTTTTATTGTTTTCCTCAAAATGAGAGCATGCCAGAAAGGATAATTTCACAGGGAGTTCAGTTTAAACCAAGTAAGCTTTTAAACGATAATTTTGTCAGTTACTTTTAGGATAGCTGCAAATGATCTACTCTACCTTTAAACACTGAATTTTGGCAGCAGTGTTGGTTCTTTGTCGTTGACAGCATGATGAAACTACCCGTCGTCACAACCAGCAGATAGAGCAGAAGCGTGAAAAGGCCATTGAACTGAGCATGCTCAAACACTACCGCACCACTGACGTAGCCCCTCACCACAACCCCTATGAAATCAAGAAGATGTGTACTCTCTGCAGTGTCTTGGTATGCATACATCCAACAAATCAAGTTGATGAAATATTGACTTTCCAAACTTCCCTCTCTTCTAATACTGCTTGAGTATAGGGGATAGTTTGTTCTTCATTGCATGCTTTAAACATGTGGGCACGTGTGGTGAAGTGGTAGAGCACAGGATTCATGATCGTGAGGTTGTGGGTTCAAGCCATGAGTGTTGTGCCCTTGGGTAAGGCGCTCTACCTCAATTACATCTCTCAACCCAGGTAATATTCAATGCTGGGAAGGTAACAGACTTGCTGTGGAGGAGGTGTGGCGATCCCCCCACAGCAGCATATGAGTCTGGCCCAATCGCTAATGAAAGAGAGATGGGCACTCCGTCCCTGTGAACACAGGTTCGTCCCCCTTTGTCGTTACCTTTTAACCAGTTTGCGACGGGAATATTTTGACATTGACTGGACCCAGTTTTTCACGAACCTCTTTGCCAGACGGGTTCAGGCCGTCATATGCGGGTAGCACACCCTGATTTTCCCGGCCTCGCTTGCTGTGAGCGGGTCTCTGACTGTTATTTCCAGCCTCGCTCGTTGCATGTATATCCGTCATCCGTTCCCAATACCGCGAAACCTTTGCGTGTGTACACGTCATCCGAACTGGTTAAAAAGAACAAAAGGCTATCCTGATAAAAAGGGCAGGTTTGATTGATTCAGTTTATAGTAAAAACTATGCTTCAGGTCTCCATACTTGAACCCCAGTCTAGGAATAGAATAGTTCTGAAGATAGCTTAAACACTCATTTGTGATACTTGAGAATTCCATGAAACTCATTGCTTTCATCTGGCAATGGAGCTAACTTTTCCTCGAGCAAATGCAGCTGGCAAAATAGGATTGACTTACTATTCTGTTTAAGGGGAATATACAACATTTGCTTTAGCTGTAATTTTCAGAACTCGATGGATTTTGGGAGTTAGTATTTTACAGCAAATATTGTTAAATTAACTTGTTTGACGTTTTGGGTTCGTAGATGCTGGAAAATCAAGAAAAACAATCATTTTCTTGTAGTCTGGTTCCCTGACCCCAATTAACTTGAAACAGAGCAATTTATAGACATTGGGGAATTGTAAGGTCAGGGAATCAATCTAGCTGGCTTGTACCCGTTCACATGTGTGCAATCGATTGCAAAGAAAATGTGTACTAACTAAATATGAAAATTGGGAGCAGTATTTAAAAAAGCCAGTTTTTTTTCAACGCTGGTCAGCTGACCAGCAATGGAAATCGACACTAAAATACCACTTTTCTTGAAAATGACAGCACAGATTTCACACGATGCTTTAGACTGTCAATCACTAACAGTACAGTTAGATGTTCATGATAATTTGGTAGTTTTGTTTTTGGATGTTTGCAAATGTTGTATATTCCCTAATACAACATATTTCCAACAAATTATTTGCAGATTCCATCTGAAGTGTACCTACTGAGTCATCTACGAGGCAAAAAACATAAAGAAGCTGTCCTAGACAAAAATCAAGGGAAGCACATGACTGATGAAGAAATAGTAAGTCAAGAAATTGCATCGCGGGAACTTTATTCCATTGAGGGAAAGGCAATATCTGTTTTCTAATGTGAAAATATCTGCAACATTGCTCTTGGCTGAGGCATATCACTGGTAATGCAATAACATTATTAGTGCAATAACATTACCAGTCTTATCTTAGGAATGGCAGTCTTTCTTTTTGGAAGAGGAAATAATATGTAGTTTTGTGTCATGGGAACTATTGAATGTGGCCTTAAATCAGGAAGCAGTGTCATCTCCCTGATTCCATGGTAGTCATGGTTGTGTAATGGAAAGAAGTAAGCTCACACTTAAAAGTTTCCGGCTGACTGACACTATTTTGGACTGAATTACAGGAGAGTTACTCTCTAAAGCTAGTTGTGGAGGCCTCGCCGGACCGAGCAGACCCTCAGGAAATGGCGGAGAAGGAGAGACAGAAGGCAAGCCGCAAGAGAGCACGCAAGCTACGGCAGAGAATGTCTTCAAAGGGCAAAGAATATGAGAACAACCTTCTGTCTAAGACACAGGCTCATGAATCTCAGCTCAGGGCCAAGTGAGTAGTTTTTCCTCCCCCATTCCCCAATGCTTGTTAGATATTTCCTAACAATCACAATCCAATGAACTGATTTACTCCAATCCCTAGTCATTATGAAATCCCTTGAATGAGTTTACACAAAGGATACCACCTTTAACCCTAACCGCCCTGAATCCTTCCAAATCCTCTTTGCCAAAGTGAAGGAATTTGGAAGATTGAGGTTACATGGCAAAAGTGCAATACTGATTTCATAGGATGCACTTTGTCAAGGTCTTGGCTCGGACCTTGTGTTGTTTTTGCTCAGCCATGCATAAAAATAGGCCTGGATTATGCTTGAAATCCTCCGTACTGCTCCAGGAGGTCACTGGCCAAGCCTCAACATATTGACAGTAACTGCCACAGGATTTTGCAGGATTCAGGCAGTGGTCACCCCTCCATGGACCTTTTAAGAAATAATGGAGGAATTTGCAGGATTGAGGCATGCAATTTTTCCATAAGGCCAATTGGAGGATTTTGCAGGATTGAGGCTACATCCCAGCAAAAAGGCCTAGGGAGTTAGGGTTAATGGTTGTTGGGATCAGGCAATTTAAGTATACGGGGTGGTGCAAAAAGAAGGAAACCCACTTTTGACAGCAATTTTCACCTACTTGTCGAGCATATTTCAAAAATTCAATTTAATGGTATTAAAATATTGATCCTTAAACATAAGTGACGAAAAAAAGGATTGCAAATGAATAATTTGTCTCTGAGATATGGTAGTTTATAAATTTCATGTGCCAAACCTGTTTGTCCACGGACGGCTTTATTCCATCCGCTTGACTGAACTCCGGAGCTTGATTTGAAGACAAAAAACACTACACTAGACTTACATGTGGACAACAGTGATTTTGGAGACTTGTATTCAAATTAGCATAATAACATAAAATCTTGTGATTTTTTTAAGATTTTTCACCATGTATGGTTGGAGAGCTATACTTCACTACATTATAAAAAAAAAAACCAGTTCAAATAAGTTAAGTAAGTAGGTTCAAATTCCTGCCCAAAGTGGGTTTCCTTCTTTTTGCACCACCCTGTATATTTATAAGCTGATCCACTATTGTCTTGGTCAATTTGAAGAAGAGTTACTCCTCATGTATCGCCAAAGCTATAATTTCTATTTCAGTCACTTTGTATTTTGTTTTACTGGTCAAAGACCCAAGACTGCATATTTAGTTTCAAGAAACTAAGCCTCAATGATCTACATGTACATCCAGGATATGGGGGTCCAGTGAAACTTCTGCTTCAACTGTACATAGCAAGCCTAGAAATAGCTCCAAACACATGGCACAATTATTATCCATGGAGTGTTATCCACGGAGGCTCCGAAACCTTTATACAGAGAAAACAATCTGCATGATACAATGTACTTATTGTAAATAAAGCAAGGGTGACTGATTTGCATTCCTAAATTGTGCAGCCAAATGGAATCCAATCAATAAATGCCTTCACACCTTGGCAAGACTATTTTTGCAGTTCTTTCCCGAAACATATTTCTTACACTATCAGGTTCAAATGCACATTTTTTGTTGCATTTTACCTGCACTTTCAGTCACTGTATCCCCATTTCTAATGGTGTTTAACCAGTTCACGCTGGAAATATTTTGACAAGAATGGAACGAGGTGCGGGATTACTTTTCACTTCACCTCAATGCTAGGCAGATTGAAGCCATCACCCTCGGGCAGCACACTCGTATTTCCGGCCTCGCTTGCTGCAAGTGGGTCACTGACAGATATTTCCGGCCTCGCTCCCTGCGTGTTTATCCGTCATCCGTTCCTAATACTGCAAAACCTTTGCGTATATGCATCTTTTTTGTTTGTAATGTTCATGCAAAGTTCACTTGTTCTTGAGGAGATTTATAATGTAATATCATACATGTACCGGTAGGTTGAAGGTCTAGCACAATAGTTGTACGAATTTTGTGTTTCATTTTTGTCTGTTATCTTGTGTGGTAGATGACAGTGAGTCAATCGGTAAATCCTGTCTAATGAGCCACATTTTAGGTTCTTAATATGTCTCAGTGTGATATTCATTTCTTTGTGTTTATTATCCTGCAGGCTCCAGAAGTTGATCAAAGACTTGAATAAATATCTTCAGTCTCAGGCCTCCAGCGGTCCCTGGGAACAGAGCAAGGTGTCGGCCATGGACAGGGCCCTCGGGGAACTCAACCGCATACTGGCCAAAAAGGTTGGTTGATTGGTGGGCCACACTACAGGGTGGTGCAAAAAAAACGAAACCTACTTTTGACAGGAATTTTAACCTACTTAACTTATTTGAACTGTTTTTATAATGTAGTGAAGTGTAGCTCTTCAACCATACATGGTGAATTTATTTTTAAACTCTCAAAAATAGTGTAATCATGCTAAGTTGAATGCAAGTCACCAAAATCACTGTTATCCACATGTAAGTCTGGTGCAGTGTTTTTGTTTTCAAATCAAGCTCTGGAGCTCAGTCAAGCCGATGGAATAAACCCGTCCGTGGACAACAGGTGTGGCACATAAACTTTTTAAACTACCATATCTCAGAGACAGAATATGCATTTTCAATCATTTTTTCATCACTTATGTTTAAAGATCACTATTTTGATACCATTAAATTGATTTTTTGAAATATATAATATGCTCAACAAGTAGGTGAAAATTGCTGTCAAAAGTGGGTTTCCTTGTTTTTGCACCACCTGTAGTACTGTTTCAGGGGATTGTTACCATTCTGCATGGGTTGTTCCATTTCATGTTCATCATGGTCTGCTATTTTACATCATCGTGATCTTGGATCGTATTCACACTCTTTGGTTCTCCAACAAATTACTTGACTATTCTAGATGATCTTGCCTGATTTGCTGTACTCCAGACCAGCATGACCAGGGCCCTATTTCACGGTGCTGCTCAACACAAAACTTTGCTTAGTACAAAAAAAGTCTGGCTTATGAAAGCAGGTTACCAGCCAAAACTCCATGTGATTTTCATGCTAAGCAAACAACAGCTCAATACTAATCACGAGCAATATACATCACGTGGAATTTTGGCTGGTAACCTGCTTTTATAAGCCAGCCTTTTTTTGTGCTAAGCAAATTTTTGTGCTTAGCAGCGCCGTGAAATTGGCCCCAGGAGTTTGCCATTTCTGTCAGCACTGCCATGACTCAGCAATGCAACTTAGTGACTGAAGTCAGAACATTCCTTCAGTTTTCTCCCTTCAGGAAAAGGAAGTCACGTAACCATCCCTTCCTGGGGTATCGTTTAGATGGTTTGCTAACAAATGAACCTATCAACTCTTTTTATGAAGAATTCATTTGCTCAGGTTGTAAGCAGTTCAGAATCAAGAGTCAACACTTTGTAAATGTACAGATGGTGATTTGTAGCAGTGTAGTGGGTGACAGTCTTTTATTGCAAGTAGCAGAATTGTTTATGCATGGCGTATTAGGAATGTACTTGTACTGTGTGCAACTGAGATTGTCAGTGAGTTATTCTCTGTAAGGCCAAAAAAAAAAATAAGTCGGTCTCTGGTCAGCGCGCGCGTCGATTTTAAGCATGTGCATCGATCTTTTTTTTCCCAAAATGTTCCGCGGTAGCTCCAACAGCGCCCTCTATTTCCGCACCTCCGCAATTTTTTTTACCAAAGAGCACCAAGGAATGGGAAATTGCACCAAGGCAAATGATCGAAAGCACCAAGGCAAATTATGGAGGACACCAATGTACATGAGAACACCAAAAAAGCAAAATAGTACCCACCTAGTCTGTACAATCCAAGCTTGAAGAAGAAAAAAAAAAAAGCAAAAAAAATAAAACGCGTCAATTCCGGAACTTTGGTCTGACCAGAGACCGAATATTTTTTTGGGGGGGCCTAACATTCCAATTTTTTTGTCATGAAGAACACCGAAGTGAATACGTCATGCGCACAAAATGTGTGTAAAAGACATTACTGGGTGATTCAGCCCGTGAACCAACACGTGCGCGTACTCCATTCGTTTGCACTACACTTTCTGGGCGCGTCCGCGTGCAGAACGGTCGGATCCCCTTATGTTTTGGTCTGGCAACAAGAACCAACTGCTGGCATTATTTTGCACACAACTCAGCTGGCCCGGAGTTGCACCACTTTGTATCTAGTTGGGCTTGATTGTATTGTCATTTTGAGTATATCCTTTGTTGTACAAACGATATCTCCAGTCTTTGGTAAGTGTTTACTTGTAAGTTGAATGAAAATGGAAGATATCAGCCCTAAAACTGAATTCCGCTAACTACCCGGTAAGGTCAGGGACCTTGTTCCAGCTGTACTAGCGAGTCCCCATGTCATGAGCCCAGAACTGGATATTTTCAAGCTACTGCCGAATTCAGTTGTGGAATTCGGTTTGAAAAAAAACAACGCTTTTGCTGAAACCTGTTGGCAGGTTTATAAGATGTTCTTTACCTTCCAACACACCCTTGATTGCATGGCATTATTGAGGTTGAAATGTTCCCGGATTGTTGCGAGATATGCTCAGAATCTAAGCTTTTCTGGACTTAGGCCGTGTCCGAAACGGGCTTCCAGAGCTACGGCTACGTCTATTGTCAGCGCGTCCCCGCGTATTTTCAATGGGCGCGGACCTAGACCTAGCTCTAGACAGCTGATTCGGATGCAGCCTACATCTCCATTGAGAAGTCGCCATCTTGCTTTGTGAGCGTGAGTGCTTCGTGAGTGCGTGTGACGTCACATCCTCCAAACATTTGCGAGTAGTATCTCTACCAAAATGTAACGAAAAACATAAGCATTGTCCACGAGATGCCACTCGCACTGGTCTTTTTTCGAGCTACATGTAGCATCCGGGGCCTCAGTACGTGTCTGGGTAGGCTGCACGCGTGCCTTGACTAAAGGCTAAGACCTACATTGTAACATTGTCAATGGAATATATTAAAAGTTATCCACCCTGAACTGACTTGTTCCTAATTGCACTGAGCAGCATTCAGTCAAAGAAATAATGTAGTGCGTGATCACCTGGCATTTGCTACTCACAGTCCTGATGTCTTCTTTGTAATGACACTTTTGTCTGTTCAGGAGCAAGCTGACCAGGTCACATTCAGGGCATGTGGTGGGCTGTCTACACTCGGTCGTATTCTAATGCTGATAGATTCAGGCAGTAGCACGCAATCAAACGTCATCCCTGCCAAGTAAGTCACAGTGCTTGTTTCATTCTCTTTGGTTTTATTTCTATTCTCAAATAAATCACCTAGAGAAATTCCTGCTGAACTATCCAACCCTAGATTAGCATTATCCAATTTGTTGTCTTATTTTACACCTTTGCTCTTTGGATTCAGAGCCTGCTCATTTTGTTTCCCATGTGTTTGTATTTTGCCTCTTGTCTTACCTTTCGGCCATAATGTCCTCATTCTTCTAGGGATGTTTTTAGAATAACTTTCATTTATTTGTTTGTGGAAGGCATTCCATAAACAGATAAAATTAGTACGTCCCTCACATAAAGTGGAGTTCCTCTAACATAGCGCGCTTTTCCCGACATTTCCCCACGAAGTGTTTCAAATTGTACTACAACAGTACAATTTGAGTAGATACTAAAACAAACGAAACAAAGGATGACAAACAAACAGACAGGCACAAACACACAGATAATAACAAACAAGGAAAGCAAACGGATTAAAAACTGAATAAAAGACAAACAGGAATAATAGGAGACAAACACACAAGGCAAGAAGCTTTAGAGAACAAACAAAGATGAAACTTTTTGAATTCCATGTACCTTTTTCTCTTGTCAATAGATCAGTGTGCAGTGCAGCCACTGCATTCAGGCTGACGTGCAAAGGTTGCTTTGACAACTGCCAATACGCTCTGTACAGCGGCAAACTGGCACCCATTGTAGAACTACTAGTTCATCAACTCGGAGTAAGTCTTTATTGTTTTATAACGTGTATATTACTAATCACATATCATGGTCAGAGATCAAATAACATGTTTGTTTTTTTTATTTTTGAAATTGTTTTTCCATCACTCGAATGTATAGTATTTATCATTATAACAATGACGGATAACACATGTTCTCAGAACAAAACAAAGGTTTTGAAATTTATATAAATATAGTACGATATGTATAAAACAAATTTAAATTGAGGGTAACAGTTGCATTAACCCTTAATCCCTATGGTGTATGACTAATTCTATGATTTTAAAAGTTGAGGATTACTGACTGTGGGGGTTAATTTCTGGCTTGTTGTGATGGAATTAGTTTGACATTTTCAGGGCAAATGGTTTTATATTTTTATGGTAAATGAGGGCACCTTGGGTCAATACAGGGTGAGTCAAAAAGAAAGTTACCCAAATTAATGATTTTTTATCTTATAAAGCAATCAAATTATCAAATTTGAAACACGAATGAAGTATGCATCTTCTTCCACTCATGTCCAAAAAAAAATATTGAAATTGATCCATGCTATCAGGAGTTATAAACGTTTTACTAAAAGAACCAATTTTTATAGCTGTACATGGAATCCCATTAGAAGATATTGAGCTGGGTGAATAATTACAGATTACGTGAGCACGTTTCATTGTACTCAATAGGCATTCATTGGTTCGTAGAATGGTAAATGATCAGTGGTGGAGCTTTGTGATCTTTTTTTTTAAATTGGCATAACTTGGGTATAGATTTGGCAAATAACGTGAAATTTTCAAAGTTAAAAGTCAATACGATGTACTTTTTCCGTATGTTTTTCATGTGAAATGGAGCAAGCCAAATATTTTAAAAATCATTTTTCAAATTGGGTAACTCTCTTTTTGACTCACCCTGTACAGTGCGCCCTTGCATTCTTCACAGGGGCTGTTTACTTTATGGGTAAAAATGGAATAACAAAATGACGGGTATCTTGTAAGTGGAAGTAAGTTTTCCACCAAATAAAAGTTCTATGAATGTTATGTTACGGAGTAAACCATTGACTACCTGTAATCTTGCACACAGCTGATGGTGCCAAACTCTGCAGATCCTTCCCCTAGTCTGTGCCACAGCCTGTCCGATCCCATCTCCAGCTGTCTGATGCAGCTATTGTCCACAGTCTTACTCTGTCTGGTCAAGTATCGGCAGCAGAGCACTTCATCAGATAGTCGCTCTGGGGCCCAGAAGAAGCAAATGGATACCTTTGATCAGTGTGGACAGGATCTCATCAGGTACAAACTGCGCATTTTGCTACTTGTTTATCTGCTTTGAAAGACAGACAAGTGACACATATGTTCAGCAATTCATCCTCTCTCAAGCAAATTATACATGATTAAATCAATTAAAGTTAAAAATCGACAATTTACCATGCGTTTCACACTGACGCATATCTGTGTCATGTACACGCACAGTAGACAGCGAGATGTGTGTGACGTCACAACGCCATAGGGAGAGTTGACCTGTCTTTCCCAATAATCATATCCGTCTGCTTGCGACACTTTGTGTTGAAGTATGCTGTTTGTGCCAAAATTGTTGCATCAAGCTATATAACCCAGAGGGCCAAGGATTGATTGATGAGCTAAATGAGCAGGGATAATGCTAGGTTTACACATGCCCGAATTAATGCCACGAATACCCCGATCTATCCCGAATAAAAAATCTTGATGGCATCAGGAGAAATTAGCCCCGATTCGCTGTTTGTAAGAATAACTTAAGAATGAAACAGAAATAATCAAGAACTAGGTACGAATTGGAAGCCGAATCAGACCGCACCAAGCCAACTGATTGCGATTTAATGCAGAATAAAACCGAATTGTAGCAATTTTGTCAAGAATAACATACGAATAACTCAAGAATCCTCCAGAATGACCCAGAATTATGCCGATTTAGTGTATTCGTAAGTTATTCTTAAAATATTTGTACATTTGTTGATACAATCGTAATGATTTGGCATGATTCTGGACTGTTAACACCAAAAATTACTCTACGAAACTTGGAAGAATGCGGTAAGAATATCCTGAATGATGTAAGAATAACCAGAATTAGTTACGAGTACAACAAGAATAAACCAAGAATTGAAATTGAATCCCGAGTCAACCCGACAATTTTGAACATGTCTAAATTGTCAGGGCGCTTCCCGATCTTGAACGATCTTTCGCCGAACAAACAGAATCATCCCGAGGCAGCCAAAAACCAATCCCCGATTTACTCAACAATTGCTATTCGGCGGCGATACGGCTTAAAAATCGGGAATATGTGAACCTAGCATAAGGGAAGAATGCAAAATGAAACAAGCGGTAATTCCAGGGGCGTGTTTTTGCGACCGCGACATGTTTGTGACGTCAAAGTGATAACCAGAAACATGTTAAAACATGCGCACAAAAACACTGAACCGAAAACAGTGTCAAAAAGTTGTAAACAAAAATGGCGGAGGGTGTAAATGGGATGGCGATTCTTGAAGCAAATTCTTGAATTCACTGTAAGATTGTAAGACACTTACGATATGCGTATTAAAAGTAAGCATTACTACTTCAAACTTAATTTTTCACAACACTGTTTTATTACATGTCGTGTATTTATCTCTCCGCCATCTGGAAATGCACTCCGTTACCGACCCTTGGCCTTGGTTCGGTTTTGGTCGGAACAGTGACGTCACTCCAGCCAAGCGTTGTCACAAAAACGCTCAACCAATGACCAAAGCCGTAGCATGTTTCTGGTCATAGTCGCGAAACACGCCCCAGGTTAAACTTCAAGGGAGCCCAGTAAATCCTGTCAAAAGTGTCTTACTTTGAGGTACACCTCGAGTTACAGCTTGTTTTATTCCGCATTCTCTCCTGATAATAAATTCCTTTGATCACATAAAACTGTTATTATTATTATTAAGAATTGTAAACAAAATAGGCCCAACCTATATGTTGATTCTTGTGTTTGTTATCTGGAAATGTCTGCAGCTATTTGGTGTGCTATGGTGTGATAGATAGTCTAACGTCATGCTTCAACCGTGTGAGGGGAACCGTTGATGAAAACCCATCCCTGGCTGAGTTCCTGCAGCATGGCCTGGGGCTGCTGGGTGCCATGACCAAGTTTGTCTCCTCTACCTCCAGCAGGTCAGTCCATCAGTACAGGGCTGCTTCTTTAACATTCAAATCTGGCATCAAGATATTCTGGCTAATGTCTTCCATCTCATGATTTTGCACTTTGAATTATCCAGTAATTTGCAAATATGCTCCCAAAGTATGTTGGGTCTGGATTTCCACCTTCAAAGTATAAGCCTTGCATTTCCTTGCATATTGCGAGTCTGATTTCATTTCAGTTTAGAATGAACAAAAGTTGTGTTCTCCGTGCTCTTTAACAGATTAATTCTATTAAAAAAAAATTCAACTTGTATGTTATATTCCAACCCCCCAAAAGTCTCTTTTTCCCCCCACTTTTTTGGGCCTCTGCAAACCTCTGCAAAAAGAGTTTTAACCCTAACGATCCCCAACCAGCCAAACTCCAACACCAGGGTTTGTTGGAATCTGTTAGGATGAGTGCTGCACTAGTAAACTGACTGTGCTTTACGTGGGATTAGGCATACCACAAAACAGAGTCCAACTGTTTATGTGAACAGTTTACCATATGGTGTTGGGATTTGCAAAGGATGAGGAAGGCTCCTTGTAAATCACCCTAGGGAGTTAGGGTTAATCTGAGCACAAACAGCTCACTTTGCGAGCTGACTGGCTCCCGGTCCGTACATTATTGATACTGATTGTAGGGTGGGAACCAGCCTACCCACGAGAATCGGAGTTATTGTCTGGCAGCCAACAATTGACCTATCACAGTAGAATCGGGTTAGAATCACGTCAACGCAGCTTGTAAAATATTGTCCAATTACGGTGGCTAATAGCTTTTGCACATTCAGGAAGGCGTGCGTACTTCGAGCGCGAAACAGTACAGTACAGTACACGCACACTGTGTGTCCCGTCCACGGAGCTCTCAAAAGAGGTAAAAACGCGCCCTCTTTTGTTGGCGCACGGAGCCCATAGAGACACTCCACTGTACCACATAGAGGAATGGATATCTGCCCAAATGTACAGACCTGAGCTGACACCACTTTCTGTTTTGTTGAATTGCCCAGGTCAGGATGCATCTTCTTGAGCAAGAAGGAGGATCCTACCCAACTTCTGGCTACTTTTAGAGCCACTGGTTTCAGTGGTATCGTGTCCCTGCTGTATGGCATCCTACTTCATGGAGGTAACCCACCACGAGGCAGTACTACAACACCACCTGAGCTGCCTGAGCATACACTCAATGTGGTGACTGCAGGCATCAAGTTACTCAGTAATATCGCTGTGTTGGATCTTGAAATGATGCAGGTATGATGCAGAAGTGTGAAATCTCAGCTTTAAAGCTGATTTCAGCTATTTTTTGTTTTGGATTTCAGCTTTTTTTCAGCTTTTTCCCTCACTTGCCGTGTACAAAAGTATAGGAGATTTCCAAAGTTCAGCTTTTTTACACCTTTTTCAGCTGTTTTCAGCTATTTTTATCAGTGGTCACTCACACCCCTGATGATGACGCTGATTTCCATATTGGCATTTTGGTGTTTACAGTTTCTGGGCAGGAAGGTGTTCGCAGAGATGCCAACATTTACGATTTAGGCGATTTATACGATTTATTCACCCCGATTACGATTGTACAACCCTTATATGATTTTCCAAGATTTTACGTGAATAAAATAATGTGTGCACAATTTGTATTACATGTACAGTGTAGTATCTTGGATCCTGTTTTTGCATAGCGGGTATTAATAGAATGGGAATTTGGAGCAGACTATTGGGTGTGCGATTTTTAGCGCATAAAAGAGAACTGACATGCAGTGTGTGCACGAAAACGACATCACTCAAAAGAAAAGAGCCCAATTGGGCGTAATAAATAATAGTCTGGTTTCCCAAATTTACACATAAGCAATACATGGAAGTACGTTGGCAACCAGTTACGGACAGTAAAACCTAATCACCCCAACATTATGCGCGCGCCCTGGGGGTGGTGAATTGAACCGCGTGCTCTACGGTGCAATTCACGGAAATTGCAACGCATGCATTTTTGTGTGGCAATTGAGCATTATGGTTTTTCATTTTGTGGATAGAAGAACAAACAACGATGGCTTCATGTCTCCATAAGTTTAAAGGGAATATACAACATTTGCTTTTGCTGCATTTTTCAGAAATAAATGGATTTGGAGGATTAGTATGTTATAGCAAATATTGTTAAACTGACTTGTTTCACGTTTTGGGTTCGTAGATGCTGGAAAAACCAAGAAACCTAATCATGTTCTTGTAGTCTGGTTCCCTGACCCCACTTACGATGAAACAGAGCAATTTATAGACTTTGGGGAACTGTAAGGTCAGAGAATCAGTCTAGCAGACTTGTACTCCTTCACAGGTGTGTGATCAATTGCAAAGAAAATGCGGAATAGCTAAATTTGAAAAATTATGAAGCAGTTTTTGAAAAAAGCCAGTTTTCTCCGACGCTGGTCGGCCAACCAGCGTTGGAAAAATACAATTTTTCTTGAAAATGTCAGCACACCAGGTGCCACGATTTTACAGGATGCTTAACCCTAAAAAGGGCCGGGTTATTTTGACCATCTCTCAGGGGGGGGGGGGGGCACCTAAGATCTCGGCCATCGAGTGACGAAAAATTGTGAAACTCGGTACATGCATAGAGCAACTCTTCATAAACATACCAAAGAAATTTCATGACTATAGATCAAAGGGTTTTGGAATTGTGGCTAATTAATTATGTGTACACATAAAATCTGTGTACGCGACGTATACGGGAAAATTCAGTTTTACGCGCCGGAAAATTTTTCGATGCGCAAGGCTCGAGGCTAAAAAGTCATAACAGCTCGGGTCGCGAAAAAATTTTTTTCAAGGTTATCGCAGAAAAAGTTGAGGGGGGGGTGCCCCCCCCGGCCCTTTTAGGGTTAAGACTGTCATTCCCTAACAATTCAGTAAGGTATTTCATGATAATGTGATCATTTTGTGTTTTGATGTTTGCAAATGTTGTATCTTCCCTTTAAAGATGAGTATAGCAAAAAGTGGGACTTTGTTGTGAAATCTGTTCGTGGGAAAAATATGCCTTCTGCAACATTATGTCGCTCTGCCTGTGACATCAACATCGCTCGCGGTGGATCGCACGACATTGAGAAACACAGTAGGGAATTTCTAGTTTTCAGCAAGTGTCTGATGGAAAATTACTCTTTCAATTTTGAATGTTGGCATCCCTGTGTTCAATAAGTGATGTATAGGTAGTCATTTAGATTTGTAACTGTGTATTACACAACCAAGGTATGTACGTTGTTTGCCTTCTAAATGTTAGCATTGTTTGCTTTGTTTTGTGAGAGCCAATTTGCTTTCATATTCTCTTCTTGTCATGAGCAGAGTGCTCTAGGATCTGAAGGCATCTCACTGGAGTTTCGTCACATTGCCACCTATCTGATATGGCATTGTAGTCACTTTGTCAGCTGTGAAGATCTACTGCATGAGATCATTCTCATTGTGGGCTACTTCACCATACTCAACACGGAGAATCAGGTGCGTACACAGGCAGATAGGGACTGGATCCAATCCGCTTTCCCTAAAAAAAAAATATTAAAAAAGTCTTTGGCAGGAAGGTGACCGAAATGCACTGCCTTCTTGGGCTTTTCAGAGAATAAGCCCTTTTCACACTAGAGCTTCTCAACCTGGGGTGAACTCTACCCCTGGGCAAACCAAGTGCCGCCCTGGGTTGAGTTTTTTAGTTTTCAACCCCGCGTTCAACCTTGCATTGTTTCACACTTGTTTCTTGCAAACCAAGCTTATTTTGCTCGTTTAGTACTAGCTGTTTTGAACCCTGGCAAGAATTTCAACCCGGGTTAAAAATCTCAACCCTGGTCTGGAGCAGGGTTGAGTTCAGCCCGGGGTGAAATCAATCTCAGGGTGGACGCATTGTTTGCACAGGGTTAAAAATGTTCAAGTGTGAAACGTTGCATGTTTGTAACCTTGCGTCAACCCTGTGTCAACCCCGAGATATGTTTAGTTTGAAAAGGCCTAAAGAAACCCCTTTTCCACCCAGAGGCATTCTATTCATGATGATGATTACAGTGATTGGGTAAACTTACTATCATGTTTATTGTACTTCCTAAATACTGTATGGTAATTTAGATGAAGTAAATTTAGAGAAAGTAACATCCAAATCCTAGAGCTACATGTACATAAAAGATGGTGATAGTAAAAGTCATCAATTTGTTCATCACAAATGTGAATTGAACTTATGCTACCAATTGCACAGTTAGTGACAACTGTAAACTTACTATCCAGTTTATTGTACTTCCTAAAGAGTGTATGGTAATGTAGATGAAGTAAATTTAGAGAAAGTAACATCCCAATCGTAGAACTACATGTATATAAAAGATGGTCATAGGCATTTTTGTTAAAAAAGGCATCAATTTGTTCATCACAAATGTGAATTGAACTTATGCTACCAATTTGCATAGTAAGTGACAGCTGTTGTCAATTTCATGTTGAGTCCATTATGGATCAAAATTTTAATTGATATTACTTGATCTAAGTTGACTCAACATGGTTACATTCTGAAAAATAAAAGTACTTCAAAGTCCAACTTCAACAAATTACCACGCTGGTATCATGTATAATAAGATAACTTGATAACGCTTTAAAAAAATATGTGCCTCGGCAGCGTTACCTAGTCTGAGTGTCACCTGTTATAATAATAATAATAACTGTATTTATATAGCGCTTTTTGCCAGAGGATACAAAGCGCTGGGGGAGAATGCAACCAAGCCAGGTAAATGAAGTATATGAACATTATGAGACCCATTATGTTGCACCTTATAAGGGTTTACAAGGTGCTGCGGCGCATAATTGCTGCCACTGCCAGAAACACCGGGGCAAACCCCTTCTCTTAGCGACAAGTGTTACTGGGTTCTTTAACGTGCATTACACAACACACGGGACCTACGGCTTAACGTCCCATCCGAAGGAAGAAGCAATAATGGTAAAGTGCCTTGCTCAAGAGCACAAGCACCATGTTCCCACGGTCAGGATTCGAACCCGTGTACCACAGCACACGAGTCAAACACAGTAACCATTGGACCACAGCGCCCCACAGAGCCATGTCCTGTATAACTTCTGATATGTCTAGACATGCAGATATATGCAAGCAGCGCGCCAGCCAATCGGAGTCGACTTTACTGAATCGTGACGTCATTTCATTCCAAAACAGGACTAAATGGTTTGATTGGTCGATGCGAATGCAGTGTTTTATATAAATATAACAACAGCGGGGCGCGATATCGCGTAACACGATACATGATACAAGACTAAACATTACCTGGAGATGACAATTCTGTAATGACTAGATTAGTATGATCTGGTATGACTGTCCATTCTTGTTTATCAATAGGTCCTTGTGCAGTCTGGTAACACGCCTACCCTCCTGCAGCAGCTGTGTGGTCTACCATTCCAGTATTTCAGTGATCCACGTCTGATGGCTGTACTCTTTCCTACCCTTATGGCCTGCTGCTTCAATAATACTGCGAACAAGATCATTTTGGAGCAAGAGATGAGCTGTTCTCTATTATCTTGCTTTCTTGAGGTAAACAACTTGTAATATTAACTCCCTTAAAATCGTTTGCATTTATCCAAAAAGTATATCCCAAAAACCCTACTGAACTATTATCAAAATGCTTACTTGGATTAACCCTAAGCCCCTTGAGTGATTTACTATAGGAACTTTCCTCACTCCTGCTAATTCCAACACCGTATGGTATACAAATATTAAGTGGCTCGGAGTGATATGGGAGGATTATTATTGCAAGGTAAAATCTGGACTTTTCCATTTCATATGGCAAAGCAGAGTGAACTGGAAAAGTCGATAATAAGATTTTACCGAACGATAATATTCTTCCCATTTCACAATTGAAAGCCACTCAATATTTGTTTTATATAACTGACATATAGATCCTTGTCATTTGACATATTTGAACTTTTATTTCAATGCAAAATTGGTGGAAAATGTACTTCTCTCTGTTTGAACCCAACTCTGTAGCGCTGGCTCTTTGGAACAATACGCGCAACGCTGAACGTGCACACCAGCATGCATTTGCACACAAATACCGCGTCATGGAACAAGAATGATCCTAACTGTTGAAAAGTATTTCCCATTCCCCATGGGCGAATGGGACTTTTTGGGCCCCGGTGTGCATGGGAGTAATAACGAATGTCACGTGATGTGAGTTCCACCAATCAAATGACAAGGATATGTATGTGAGTTATATAATAAACTCTACACCCAAACTGTTGGACTCTGATTATTGGTGGTATGCCTGACCCCATGTAAAGCATAATCAGTTTACTAGTACAGTCCTCACTCCAACAGATTCCAACAAACCCTGGTGTTGGAGTTTGACTGAATGGGGATTGTTAGGGTTAAAGGGAATGTACAGCATTTGCTTTTGCTGCAATTTTCAGAAATAAATGGATTTGGAGGATTAGTATGTTATAGCAAATATTGTTACACTGACTTGTTTCAAGTTTTGGAATCGTAGATGCTGGAAAACCAAGAAAACCAATCATATTCTTGTAGTCTGGTTCCCTGACCCCACTTAAGATGAAATGGAGCAATTTATAGACTTTGGGGAATTGTAAGATCAGAGAATCAGTCTAACAGGCTTGTACTATTGTAGTCTCCACAGGTGTGTAATCAATTGCAAAGAAAATGCAGACAAACTAAATATGAAAAATCAGGAGCACTTCATGAAAAAAGCCAGTTTTCTCCAACGCTGGTCAGCCGACCAGCGTTGGAAAAATACAGTTTTTCTTGAAAATGTCAGCACACCACCAGGAGCCAAAACTTTACCGGATGCTTTAGACTGTCATTCCCTAACAATCCAGTAAGATATTTCGTGATAATTTGATCATTTCGTTTTTTGATGTTTGCAAATGTTGTATCTTCCCTTTAATTAAAGATGGTACTAATCATCCTGTGAAATTAATCCGTCTGGCTTGCTGCCTTTTAGAAATCAAGAAATGTAGGTGATTTCCAATGATCAGTCAATTGACTGACTGACAAATGATTATGATGTTAAAAAAAGGGAAAGTGTGATGGATTGCTCGTGTTTTTGTTTTCTTTGATCATTTCAAACACCCACACTGATGTGAAAAGTCCACTCTGTCTATCGTCAGGAGAATGTTGGACCATAGTTGATGCTGGTTTGGTGGGAGGCAGCTATGTGTGTTTAACCTGTATGAATGTCATGAGTGGGGGGGGGGGGGGCAATGAGTGTGGCTTGGTGCAATAGAACCAAGCATAATAAATTATCCCTGTGACTTGGTGCGTCCTGCTCCACATCAGAGAGACCACATATCATTATCAACTTTGCATCAAACTTCATTTTAGAAATTGAAAAAAAATATATCAATACAAACGTCGCACCTTTGCGCTTAGACTTCTTTAATACCGGACAATAACACACTCATTGAACTAGAACGAATTGTGATAGACAAAGTAGCCTGTATTTATAAAAGATTTTGTTTAGACAAAAAAAATAGACATCTTGACATCTTGGGTGTCCACCCTTTACAAGGGAAGCCTTTGACCTACACTCAACCAAAAAAGAAAGTCCCCTCTTAATGCTTTTTTGTCTAACTCAAAAACTACTGGGCACATTCTGCTCAAATTACGACTGATCAGTACAGAAATTCCTCAGCAATCCAGCCATACTCTTTGTTTGGCCCAAAACAGTGATAATGTTCACACAATTAGGCAATTTACATGTATGACAAATGGTATCGAAAAAAAAAGTTGCACTTTTGTGTGCGTGCAGAGTGAGTGTGAACCACAAACTGCACGTAGACAAAAGTGCAACTGTTTTCGGTATCATTTGTCATAAATTGCATCAATTCGTACACATTATCACTGTTTTGGGCCAAATAAAGAGTATGGCTGGATTGCTGAGGAATTTCTGTACTGATCAGTCGTAATTTGAGCGAGAGGTGCTCAGTAGTTTTTGAGTTAGACAAAAAAGTATCTGAAGGGGGGACTTTCTTTTTTGGTTGAGTGTATAAGAAATAATACAAACACTGGAAACATTTTATAATAAGGAATACCTCAACAAATTTCAATTTTCAAATGAATGGAAGATGTTTTATGTCATCTTGATGTAGGAGAAAATTCAAGACAAGAAAGTCAAGCAATCACCCACATCAACAAAGAGCAGAGGTAAGTCCTAGGAATGCCTTCCTTCCAAATGTTTTGCCATGACTGTGGATTAATTCAGTTTACCAAGGCTTTGTTTCCATGTTTTCAATGTGTTTCACAATTTTCTATATCAGGGTTCGACCTTAGATTTTTCTTTCACTAGCCAGCCAGGCTACTGAAACCTCTTAACTCGCCCGCAGGCATTTTCACTAGTCCGCATGTTTCTCTTTTATAGAGCTTCTCATAAACAACAATGTGCACATGAAAAACGTGTATCCCGAGGCAATCTTGTCAGTGTTTTTAACCAGTTCGCGCCAGGATTATTTTGATATTGACTGTACCCAGGCACGGGATTGTTTTTCATGAACCTCAATGCCAGACGGGTTCAGGCCATCATCTGGGGGTAGCACACCCTGATATTTCCGGCCTTGCTCTCTGCGAGTGCGAGCGGGTCGCAGACAGATATTTCCGGCCTCGCTCGTTGCGTGTTTATCCGTCATCCGTTCCGAATACCGACGTGAACTGGTTGATAAACAGATCAATTAAGTTAACCCTAACCCCCTAGGCCCTTGTTGCTTACAACCATCCTCAATCCTCCAAAATTTTCCAACATTTTGCAACTCCGCCTAAATTTTTCAAAATTGTCAGACAGTCCTGCCTCAAAATGCATTCATCCTCAATCCTCTAAAATCCTCCTCATCCCAAAACTTTGCACTCGTGTTTAAATGAAGGATAACCAACGCCAAATCCTTCAAAATCATCAGACAGTCCTGCCTCAAAATGCATTCATCCTCAATCCTCCAAAATCCTCTTGTGCTTCAATCACCATTCATCCTCAATCCTCCAAAATCCTCATGTGCTTCAATCATCATTCATCCTCAATCCTCCAGAATCCTCATTTGATTCAATCACCATTCATCCTCAATCCTCTAGAATCCTCCAAAACCGCCAGGAGGATTTTGGAGGAGTGAGGTGGGTTAGGGTTAACCCTAAACAGTGAATAAAATTAGACACAAGTTGATACAGGTTTGCTTTCTGAATGTAATGATTTATTTCTTCCTGTCCTTTCATATTTGCCGTAGCCCAATAATTTTTGACTCGCCAGCCGGCTGCAGCCGGGCTACTTAAGGAATAGTTTGACTAGCCCGCCGCTGTTTTGACTAGCATTTGGCTAGCGGGCTACAGCTTAAGTCGAAACCTATATTTCTGTTTGTGTGGAAGTGATTGTGACTTGTTGTATCCAGCATTATTTTTGAACTGAAGTTATTATGCAGCTATCAATTGTATGCCAGTGGGTTGAATCTTGATTGTCATGTGTTGTATTAAGACACATTCACATTCACACATTCACAATTGGGTCTACCAATGTAACTTGTCATAATACATAGTGAATGTGCATATTGGAATATATCACGGACATACAACAGGGTGTACTGACAAAGTGGAACATTCCTTCCAGATGAGATGCCCGTTGACAACTCCATTATGGTAAACAGTTGTTGAGTTTGAACAGTGAATCATAATCTACAAGGGGTTTAATGTCTTGTAAAAACTGTGATATATGTTCAGTTTAATTGTCTCCAGTTTGTGTTAACCAGTTCGCGCTGGGATTATTTTGGCATTGTAACGGCCTTCGTAGATTTTGCATCTTTATTCAGCACAATTCAAGTTCTTCGTCACAGTACATAAAATAGTCTGGTGCCAACACTCTTTAACCATCCTATGGAAACATGCATTGTCAGCCTTGTTATTACTTGGGTCAATATTGGTCAAGACCCCCATTGGTTTGTACACAGTATGCCAGGAGGTGAGGAAGAAAATTATGACCACTGGTGACCTCTTAAATAGTAGGAGGGTTAATGTGTTTTTACTGCAGTACAAGGATTATAACAGCAGACTGGTTCTGTAAATATTACATGCTATAGACTACATGTCTACGAGGCGGGTTCCAAAGGGAATTTTTGGTGTTACCAGAAAAAAACTACCGCACGGCAGCGAGCTGGATATTCACCGGGATGATGTCACCTGGGCGCGTATCATTTTTACTTCCCGGACGCGCGGCGGAATCGGCCAATGACGTGCTCCAATTTGATCATGAATATTTATAAGGTGTAGTAACACCAGTTACTGCATTACCTTTCAGTCCACTAAGCACACAGTGGTGAATACTGGCCATCTGAAGGGGATGCAGTGCACATGGGCTTATATTGGGGTTGGGTTGCATACAGAAACGGCTGTCTACTGATGATATTTAAAATGTTGTCGTTTGTGCCTTCCTAGTGCTTAATGGACCGATCCAGTAAGCCCCGCCCACAGCGCACTGGGCAAATTAACACGTGCTCCTCTCCAATGCCATGCTGCATTTTCCTTCCGTGCGCATCATACGCGCGTGCACGCATGTCGGACTTTAGTGCACGCATGTCGGGCATAAATCACGGCTGTGATTGGTCAGAACACCATGGGGCGGTGCTTACTGGATCAGTCCAATGATAGAAAAAGAGTGATAAATCCGAGATACCACTCCTGAAATGCCTACTCCTAATATTCATTACAGCTCAAGTCATAACCAACAATGGCTTTTCCTATCAAAGCTCCGTGGCATAATAAAGTATCTCGTCGTTCAGGAATACCAATGGTGGCAACTACAAACCAATAACCTCATTAGATCCCTTAGTTATTATCCACATAGTTGATGTATGCAACTGGGCTAGACTAGGACTCCCCACAGCATGAGAGGGAATTCAGCTTCCCAGAAGTGGAGGCCATGGCTACATTGAGTCAGTCAGATAAACCAATCCACCACTGTGCTTGCTCCAAATATAAATGTAATGGGTTGCTTTATCTTTATCATGTAGTTATTTCTGTCACAAGCCAATGTGGAACCCCTGACCATCTGATCGTGAGCCACGAACCGTAACCACCAGGCCACACTCCCCGCCATGTATGTACATGAAAACCATCGTGTACATGAAAACAATCAGCTGGGTTCTCATTTGGCTAGGATTTTACACAAGGAGATTGTGGACAAAAACACCTTTTTCTAAAGTCAAAACTAAACTTATGTGTCATTATTTTCTCCCTCTTTCAAACTGCGTATGTTCATGTATATTTTGTGTGTGTTTGATTGATGTTGTCAAAAGATTTCCATGTATGCTAAAGAGAGACTCCAGTGTTTTCCCCCGGAAAACCAAACTACCGGTACAGTACATGTAGATTATCCAACCCCATGCACAAGAAAAGTAACAGGGTATTGGATGGGTTTAGTGCTGAAGTCATATCCCAGCATGCAAAGCTTGATCTAAGCATAGAAAAATAAATCATCTATTCAATTCCAATAACGTAATTGTTCATCTTTTTTGGAAAAAAAAGAGAGAGCATTTGTGGAGTATAGATAGCGCTTCAAACCCTCCCTAAATCGTTTTTGTGTGATATTTTGGCAAGCAGGTGGATTCAGTCACAGTGTTCTGCATTGTGCAGTGACACCTCGCACAGTTACACAGTGTATTAACACCGTATAAGGATTTAAATGGTTTAAATATTGCCTTGAATATTGATTTTCCTGTCTGAGGGTTCTAAATCAGAATGGTGTAGATTAGAACACAAGAGAACTGTCCGCAAAGTTACTGCTTTGGTCTTCATGAGTGAGAACAACCAACTCTGTGCTCCGTGAAATCAGTATAGTGCCCTCTAGTGGCCAACTTTGTTCAGCCAAATTTGGAGCTGTTTTGTGCTCTGTGCATCCTGTGGTCCTTGACCACAAAATGAGAATTGTGTGTGTGTGTGTGTGTGTGGGTCACACTGCCTGCACCAAGCATTCAAGAGTACTGGTTAACCCTCTCTTTGTTACCATTTTGAACCACTGTCAATGTGTAGATTACAAAGGAAAATTATAAGAGTGACTTCCAAAAGGATACACTTAGCTTGGTCCTTTGCCTTTTATTTGGAATGCATATGTATGCCTTTCATCTTCATATCTCATCCAGCATTGTTTGCTAAGGCTGATGACAATCAAAACCCGCTATGGCGACCGTGCCCTCTCTGTGCTAGCCCCGAAACTCTGGAACTCTCTTGCCATCCACATCCGTGAAACTGATTCATTAGACTCGTTTAAGATAGTACTTAAGAGCTTTCTTTTTTCACAAGCCTTTGATTAGTAAATTTATATTTGTACAAGAAACAACTGTGCGCTTTGAAACATGGTGGAAAGCGCATTATAAATGTTGTAAGTTATAGTTATAGTTATAGTTATTTGTTGTTTCATGTAATGTCTTCACTTCTGATCTGATCGTTAATATCAAGAGGATTTGAACTCAATAGAGGAATTGGCAAACATAAGTTGTTTCAATCAACTCCTAGACTACATGGATGTATGTGATTTGGAGACATCAGTAACACAGGGCAGTTTAGTCTACCAGATAGCAGGATCATCTTTGGACTGTGTAGACTCTCTGTAAACTCTAGGTTACTTTGTAAAATGGGACAAGCAAGTCCAGCTAATGGTTTCAAACTGTCCAAAATGTCGGTTGACCAGAAAAGAGAAGACTTGACCTATTTTAAAAATCTTGATGTCCATGATTAGTAAATCATAGACATCTTGTGTTTTCTGGTTAAATGATGGTTTTTCTTTGCAGGGACACCAGTCTGGTTATTTAGGCCAAGGACATGACATTGTGGTGACCCTTATTATATCCAAGACCATTCAGACTTGAATTTCAAGGTGCAGTTTGCTATAGGCCTCGTGTTAAAGGCTGAGTTAGATGGCAATATGGTTTTATATTGCTTGGGAAGGCACAAGTAAACAGTTTGTGCATCCACTGTTACCATTTAAATAACAAAGAACACGCCCTAAGATACTTGCAATGCATATGAAAATAAAAAATAAATCAGTTTTTAAAATTCAAATAATTATTTGCAATATATACAAAGTACAAAAGTGCAAATATGACTTAACTCGTATAAATAATGACAACCTGTTGGATGAAAACAAAACTTCAGTTAATATCTAAAAAAGAAAATCCTTAAAGGGAATATACTGTATACAACATTT